TTACGATCTTTTAATGGAAGTTTGATTTGACTCAGGATGTTATTAGGAACCAGAACATGTGTAGGAAGTTATGCAAAGTACTTAGAGCTCACTTTGGAGGTGTTCCCTAATTAATGTGAATCTATAGTCACACCTGAAACCCTGATGAGGAGAATTTGCTATCCAAGATCTTGGGGACTGTTAATGAACTGCTGTTCTGAGTCTAGCTCCAGGTATGGTTAATAAGCAACTGATTGAGCTACTGACCCATGATGTCAGCAGTCTGCAAAGAGGTTTGTGAGCTGCAAGAGGGTGTTCTCATGGGGAGGTTGGGAGAACGACTTTTCTGCATGGCTGAGGTAGGATTCTCCTGACTCAATTTCCCCACTATGACACCTGATAGACTTTAAGCCTGACTCAATGCAATTGGTCATTATATATATGTATGTAAACTTCTGCCTGGAATCGACATGAATCCAGGGAAACATTGTTCCCTTACTTATTCCCTGTTCTTTCATGGCAAATTCCTATAATCATAAGTTTTGTAAGTATAAATATTGAATCTATTTAAAAACATAGATGGATGTGGGAACATCTGAGGGTATTTTAGTAAGATGCAAGTATAAGATTGAGGTATTTGGCCTAGAACTTCAGAGTTAAGTGTTCAGTCCTGACATGTTACTAGTATATTCTTGTGTAAGTCAGGATCCTTTAATTTCTCATAGTGGTATGAGGATAATTAGGCCAGGAGATTGTGGAACTATATTATTCTGTTACTTAGTTAATGTTAAAGTTGTAAGTTGTCTCAGTTTGATACAATTAATGTTAAAAGAATAGCTTGTGACTTATCTTGTAAATGCCTTGAAAGAAGCATCCATTTTAATTAAGGATTATTTATTTGTACATGACTGGAAGTCGGGACTGTTTTAGTATTTGATGTGTGCTGATTTTAAATTAACTACTATGTATTGGAGTCTTACTAATTCCTTAGTGGAATCTCATCCTTCTGATGGGGGAATATGAATAGGAATGAATAATGAACTAGTGTAAGGTATAAAACTAGAAGGAATGCAGAGTGTAAGGTTAGGTTCTAACTTTTCTAATTTGAGTTTCTTAAAATGTGACAACTGGCCAAGGTTCCAATTTTGACCTTGTAATAGTGGAGACATGAGGGTTGAGTTAACTTTCATTATTTGCCCTGATTATTGCCAAGGTAATTTAAAAATTGTGTTGAGACCAATCTTGTAGGAGAGTGGACACAAGAAGGAGGATCTCTACAAGAAGAGAGTCCGCTGGACGCTGTTTGAACAGCACTTGGACCAGAGGACTTGGCCAGATGATGTCCAGAGTGTCGAATGGCTGTACGAGAAGAGACTTCTGAAGCTTTAAATGGACAATTTATCATTACTTTTGGGTCTCTGTATCTGCACTTAATAAGGGGACTTCCCCCTTTTACTTTGTCAATGTGTCGGTCAATTCCTCCCTTCCCTCTCCCATATTGTTTTAAGTCCCCAAAATCCCCTGATGAAATGTTGCCCAGCAGCACAGCCCCAGATAGAACCATCACTAAGGCATTGCAAGGTCTAATCACTTTAGCTGAGGAGTCGACAGAGAACTCTTGGATAGATAACTGATGAAACGGATAGTTAGAATCCTGGTTTGGCAGATAGAAAGGAATGGCTGTATCCATTCAGGAGTATTAATTGCTGTAGGGTGTTGTACAGCTCCATGCACTAGCGGACTGCTACAACAATTGATAGAGACATCCCTCACTAAAGATTATCCCAGTAGGACCCATAGTGGAAGTTCAGAGGGCAGGCTCTGGCAATATAAGGATGATGATACCTTAAGTATCAATGAGACTTTCCTCAGTGATGGAGAATGTGAAATCATGTTAAGGAGATGAGAGGATAAGGAAATTGGGAAGGTGTGGAAACCAAATCTGTACTTTAAAAAAAAAAGTAGGAATTGTGAGAAAGGAAAGAGTTAAGTTTCCACATAAGTAGATGAGAAATCAGCACAGACAGGCTGACTTCTCCATGGGGAGGGGGGAGTGATAACACAATTCTAAGCACATAATGTATGTTAGGGGTGGGGCATGTAAGGAAGATTGTAACCTAGAAGGATTAGGACCAATGCTGATCCAGAAGGGAGGAGTTAGGCAATTACTAACTATAAAGATTGCTCTGGCTTCTTTTACCGCGTGCATTTCTCTCCTTCCAAGGAGGTATGCCTGCTTCTTGCAAGAATTGAAATGATGCACTTCAATCTCTTTAATAAAAAGTCTTTGAGACGCCAGTCTTTGGAACTGAGTCTGGGGTCATCTCACTCACATACATGTGCATGCACATGCACACTGTCACACACACTCAAGGAGAGGAATAGATCCTTCTTCGTCAGATTGGAAAGGCTCCAGAGAAGTCTTTTGCTAGCCTTCGTTAGGTACACTCCCTTTGACCAAAGATTTAACTTTCCTATATTTTAAATGTAACCCCAAGTGTCAGGCCTCAACCCCTGACACTTCAGTTCAACTTTGGGAGATCTCTGTCAAAATCGCTCAGACACGTATACCCACACTCACTGACACCCCACGAACTTTGTAACTCTGCTCATCTTGCTCCCCCAAAAAGGCTGTATTTCTCTGACAAACACTAGGGCTAATGAGAAAACGGTTAACCCAGAAAGTGTCCAAGTCTGAGCTTGTTGACAATCAATCATACCAAGGAAAACTTGCCTCTAAGGGTCCCCAGGAAGCCTGGGGTCCACATGGTCCTCAGCTCCCACCAAGGACAAACCCCATGGCTTCCTTCTCCACATCAGGCCTCTGCGTCACCGACCCTCTTTCCCAGTCTCACCATCCACATGGACACCCGTCTCCTTCCCTCCTCCCTCTCTCCTCTCCCTCTGTCCACATAGGGAATCATACCCTTACTTGCAGGTGCTCTGCCTAAAAGAATGTAAATTTTGATCACTGAAACCTTGCTAGGTATCTTGGGGTTTATGGGCTAGATTTCTTTTTTAAGGACCAAGCCTTAAACTTAGATCATTCTGGCTTTCACCGATTGGCCAACAATAGGTCCCAGCCCAAGCCTCACTTGGAAATTGTCTGGGCTCTGATGGCTCAGAGTGAGTGTAAATGGCAAGTGTTTGTTTGACCAGAAACCCTGAGGGTCTTTCCCTCCCAGACTGATTTTTGTTTTGTTTTGTTTTGTGGTTTGGTTTTGTTTTATTTTTTTGACTAAGTAAAAGAGGCCATTCTTTGCCACATTTCTTACCTAGCCTTAATCACTGAATGGGTGTTGCCTCAGGCAAACTGTTAAAGATCTTAGCTTGAAAAGACCAAGATCTCCCACTACATCCTGGGCCATCTCCAGTCATTCTGAAGTCAATGTGGACCCAAATGGCTCAGGAGGAGAAAACGAAGCTGATGACTTTGCACAGGCCTCCCTCACTTAAACTCCCTTGTATGTCATGGCATCACCTCCCTGATGTCATGGCCCTCTTGAACCATTTTCTCATCTGCAATCCATCTCCCTTGTCCTTTTCTCTAGCTAATGTCTTCTCTCTCTGGGCAGGACCTGTAGGACCAGTGACCTCCAGAAAGGCCTCTTCCCAGGGGTTTAGTGTGGCTTAGTCTATCTAGGGTTGGCAGGTGCCTCCCAGATAGAGGTGCTCTCTTCCAGGGAGGGGCCCTGGGTCTTCTCCCTAAAGTGGAGCAAAGGGTTGGTCAAATTCTCATGTTACAGGCCTTTGGTGTGAACCAGGGCTTCTTAAACTTCCCACTTCCATATTTCAGCAGAATTCATTGACATTGCATGGCCTGAGTGCAAAGTGCACATGTTGTGTGTTCAGAACAGAGGCTGCAGTGAAGTCTTGTGATGCCAGAAACACCTCGGACTCATTACATATTTGATTCTTAATTAATTTTTGGTTGTTGTATGTTCAGAAACCTTTTCCTATTGTCAAATTTTTCATGACCCCATAAGGGGTTTAAGAAGCTCTGATGTAAACTATGGTACTGAAATCCAAATCCTGTTCTCAGGCATAATCTTTTACATCCATTCTTTCTAATGTCCCTTCCTTCATTCAGCAGCCATGATGAATCCCAGACTAATCTTGCCTGAGTTTCCTCATCTGTAAAATGGGGATAATAGCAACTACCTTTCTGGGCTGTTGTGAGAATTGAGGGAAAGAATATTTGTAAAGCATTTAGCACAGTGCCTGGAACACAGTAAGTGCTATGTAAATGTTAACCATTGTTATTGTTACCAAATTGGAGGAAGTATCCAATCTGCCCCAAGCCACCACCTGGAATCATGGAAATTGATGAGGATGGGATCCTTTCCTAAAAGGAAAAACCCTTGACTTTCCCACATGGCCAAATCTCTGGTGTTTGCCTGAGGCTGTAATCTCATCAACTGGGCTTTCATTGTGGCTACACCCAATCTCCCTTGGCCACATGGTCCAGGTCCCTGGCATTCTATTCCCACAGACTACTTACTTGGTCACTCCTAGATCCCTCCCATAGTCTTTCTGTATATAAGGTCCATCTTGCCTCCATTAAGGTGCTCAGATCCTTATAATCTAGCCAATGCTCCGATTCTTTAAGAATCTGGCTAATATGACAGATGTTCTAATAAACCTTGTCTTTGGCTGAAAGAAGGCTTGGGTCAAATTCTTTTGGGCAGGACCCGCATGTTGTGATTTTGGGGTCCCAGCACCCCTAAACCTCAGCAGAAATTGCCAGGACTCAGCAGTCGTGGTTGGCCTCGAGTCACTGGTGACTATAGAGAGAACGGTTTCAGGCGAGTTGTACATGGGAAGCCATGAAGGGCTGAGAAGAAAACAAGGTCAAGAAATGGAGGTGTTAGATGCCAACTTTGTGTCCAAGTTTCTTGGTATCTTCTCTACCTTCTGTATCCCTGCATATACAGCTGAAATGAACATATGTCTCAGGACATTTTATCTTTATTAATAAGTTTATTTTAAAGATCACTTTAAATGTAATAAATATAAAGTCATTAGTGTCATACAAATTGTCAAAAATGTCCAAAGTACAAAAAAAGTACAGTCCATTAGTTAAATGGTCATTATTCTCAGCACATGGTGGGCATGCACACTATCCACCAGCAAAGCTCATGCATCCTTTGGATGAACAAGGAAGTACAACGTGAAGACAGCCCGCGCATTCCAATCACAAATCCATTGCTTCGGTCAATTTCCTCTCTTCAGGGATACCATTTACCTGGAACACAAAGATGGCGCCATTGTAGATCCCATCATGACATTGCTAAGTTTCAGAAGCTGAGCAACAGCCTCCCATGAGAGTTGGGAGACAGAGAAGGAAGAGGGATAACCAAGGAGACACCAACATATTGAATTCCTGTCATTTTTCTAACTTTGGTTCAAAGGGAAAAGACCAATGATAAGAGGGCAACCCCCCAGCCCCACCCCCCAAAATCTCCCACCTCAGCAGTTTCACAAGTTTGTCTTTCATCGTAGAATCACTGGAGAGTCTGACTCCTCCCCCCTCCCCCATTTTACAGATGAGGAAGCTGGAGCCTGTAAACAGTCACCGAGGTACTAAGTGGAAGTGCCAGGATTCGAGCCCAGGTCCACCAGCGCCCCCAGATCACAACCTCTAAGTCCCATGGTCAGAGCTCAGAACTCTTCTCATCATGCACACTTCTGACATGTCCTTGAGTCTCACCTCATTGTTAACATCTCCCAAAGGAGAATGGTGGAATCAGCACCACTTCATCAAATGAGAGGCAGTGGTGGACAGCCAAATCTACAGCCAATCTGGCTGGAGACCCTCTTCAGCAAGGGTATCTAAGCACGGATGGAAAGGAGGACAAGCAGATGGAGAACGAGGCTGGACCTCCTCAATGTCTACAGCACATTCTGTTCTCCACCCATTCCAATGGAGCCGCCATAGTCCTTGGCATGCTACAGGACAGAGTGGAAACTGCCATGCAGAAAAAAAAGGGTGGCGAGAGCAAGCACTTTGACTTATTTTCCCGATTTACAGAGAACCATCCATACATGCACACACATCTGTTATCTCCCTCAGGAGCATATTGGGCTCCTAAGTGGGGATTGCTTCTTTTTTGTCTTTGTACCCCCTGGTGCCTGGCACAGGGTTGGCCCTTCACAAATGCTTATTGATGGACTGACTGACTAAGGTAACAATTTCGGGGAGGATGTTAAGGGCTTAACTTTCAAGGGCCTCTGCAAGAGGGGCAAAAAATCCTGGACCTTATTATGACCAATCAAAGACAGTTAAAAAAATACTCATAACTCCTGACCAACATACCTACTTGTGCATCTCTACGCATTTTGATGAGAATAATCTAGTCATGGAAGGTAGCCTTGATGAAGGGATGAGAAGGGAACAAGTCAGGGGCTCTAGCTGCCAAATCTGTACAGAAGGTGTGTTGGCCATAAAAAGATCATCTGACTCAGTCACAAAATGGCATCTTCAAGGCTCCCTTCCAAGAAGTTGTCTCCTAGGCATTTGTCAAAATCCTTCACCCTCCCTTAAAGCTCAATGAATCTCATATAATTCATAAAGTGAAGCATAAGACATCAAGACGTTTGCTAGCCAAAGGCCTTCAATGGCCACTGTCATGGAGGACATCCAACAGAGAGTCCAAATGGGAGAGGGATTTCCCACAAATGGATGTGCTCTGATGCTTTTGTTTAAAAATGATATTGTGATTATCTGGAGTCAGGGAGACTTCAATTCAACACTTGTTGGCTGTATGACCCCAGGCAAGTCACTAAACCTCTGCTTGACTCAGTTTCCTCATCTACACAATGGGGATGATTATAACAGTACCTGCCTCCCAGGTAGTTTCCCAGATGAGACCCGCATCACTTAAAAGAGCTTTGCCTACCATCCCCTCAGGAAGAAGAAAATGGGTGAAGAATGTCTCCTGCCCCAAGGATGACAGGGAGCTGGGTGGGCTAGACTGGCACATGGATGCTGCCATATTTCTCTCTGAAAAAAAGTCTCTGCCCTTCTTATGAGGCACTGTGACTACGTGGCTGTGATTCATGGAAAACAGTCCCTGGAGACCCAGTAATGAGGCAGCGCAGAGTGGGCAGGCATCACCAAGCAAGAAGTTTGGAGAGAAGGGGAATCAGCGATATGGTCTGAGAGTTGTGTGGCTGGTCACAAGGCTAGGCTGAGGGGTGCCTGATGAGAGCTGGAGGAAAGATGAAGGGTGGAGCCCCAGCCACAGGTAGGCTGGGCTCCATTAGGGAGGGGAGGGACTGACCGCCTGCGCACAACCTTGCAGTCTGGAGCAGCAGAAGGCATGGGCCTACCTGAGGGCCTGGAGTTGGCACCATGAGGTGACTGAGTTTCTGGCAGGGGCCAACAAGGACTAGCGTCGCTTCTGCACCCCACCCCACCCCCCATTCTCCCTGCAGGACTGCAGGCACTCGGGGAAAATAAGACAAAAAACCCCGTGTCTGGTCTGCCCTGAAGAGAGAGAGCTCAAGCTGGTGATCCATCCGGAAGTTGGAGTTAGGCTTGGGGTTGGAACTGGGTTCCACATTGGCCAGGAATCACTACTGCTACCCTAACGTTCTCCCAAAGAAAAATTCAGATCAAATGTGAGTGAGTAGAGAAAGTGGATCTTTGTGCTGGTGCACAATCTTGCAAGAGATGGGAATTCTCCAGGGGCGCCCAAGCATCTGCAGGACCCCCAGGGCCTTGAGACCACCACCCTGCCTGGTGGCCATGCCCATCTCCAACATCCCCATCTTTGCCCAAGCCTCTCTCCTGTCTGGCTCCCAGAATCTTGGTCTTTCTTCAGAGCTCTGCCCAAGTTCTCCTCCTCCTTAGATGGGCTTACGCTGGGCAAGTTGGGGAATCTGTTTGCGTCAGTTTCCTCAACTGTAAAATAGGGATAATAACAGCACCTACCTCACAGGGTTGCTGTGTGAGGCTCCAAAAAATATCATTTGTAAACAGGGCATAGCCCAGTGCCTGTCATAGAAAGTGCCATATAAATGCCTGCTCCCTTCCCCTCCCTCTTCCTCCGTGAAGTTCTCCTTGCTCCTCCCTCCTGCTGGTGTTAGTGCCCCCTCCTTCCCTACTTTCACGGCATGGAACTTTTTGATGCACATGCTGGGTCCAGGGCTCGTGTCCCATCAAGCTCAAGGATGGTTGGGCCGAATTGAAACAAAAGATGCAGCCAAGATCCAGGCGTTTGGAGATCCTGAAGAAATCCCAAGCCCATTTCTAACCGCCAGACCGTGTTTACTGACAGACTGACTGATCCACAGGCTAATTAGCTCTGCTTTTACAACAAGGGCCGAACCCAAGGGGTCCCTGCAAGAGCAGGGCGGGGCCAGGTTTCCTCGTCCCGTTCCCCCCCACCCCACCCCCAGGGGCAGCCCAGTCACGCCCACCCAGTTTGGGGCTGCCTCTGCTTGTGATGCTTCTACAGCATCTGACCCCAACCATCAGCCACAGAATGAATCACGATGCAGACGAGAGGCAGCGTCCAGGGAAGAGGGCGCAGGGATCCCGGGAGGACCCAGGCTCAGCCTTGGGGGAGTCACCTCAAATGCTCTAAGCCTCAGGCTCCTCATCTGTAAACAAAGGGCCATCCACCCTCCCCCACAGGGATGAAATGAAAGGAGTTGGGCTGGGCTGGACCAGACATCTTCCCTTTAAAAATGACGCAGTCTAAACTTGATGCAAGCTCTGGGAAAGCTGCGAAAGCTGCAGGGACTCTCCTTTCACACAGCCCCTCCCCCCAGACGCCCTCCTCCCAACAGAAGAATCCGGCGGAAGCGGCCACAGGGGGGCGCCCGCCCGCGCGTCGGCTCCTCCCGCGGGGAGATGGGGCACCTGCCAGGGGGCCGCGGGCACGAGGAGGGGCCAGCCCTGCCTTGGGCTCCACCACCTTCTCAGCCCTCTTGGATTAAAATCATGGTACTTTGGTTTCATGATACTTGCCTCAAATCTTTGAAAAGTTGTCATACGAAATTCTCCTTAAAGCCCCGAAAGCAGTAACAGAGAAGACGGATTTTAAATAAAACACCAAACACGGAAAGCGTCAGTCACTTTTCTCACTGCCCCTGTGTCCTGGCCCAGCCGCCTGAGCCCCAGGACCGCCCTCGGGGCAGCCCCGATGGGGACAGCCAGCGAGGCCCACCTGTGGCAGCCCCAGGAGGGGCAGAGACCTCGAGTGACAGACCCCTTATCCGGCGGACAGTCTCAACAAAGTGATGGGGCCAGCCCTAGGAGGACGGGAGAGTCATCTGCCCTCAGCAGGCAGGCCGGAGGGTCACCTCCACAGGGGACTTCGGGGGAGGCAGTGTCCACTACCATCAATGACTAGGAAAAGAATCCAGGACAAGCTATTACCTCATCATGGAAAGGAAGGAAATCCCCACCCACAAGAAGGATCTAAAGGGTGGCACTGCCAATAAACGAATGACCAGAGGGAAATCTGACAAGAGTAAGTGCACAGTCACTCTCCCACTGCTCAGGTGACAGCAGGCCCAGCCTTGCAAGCCCCTCTCAAGGCAGAACAACTCTCTGTCTTTGGACGCCCCCAGGGAGGATGCTCAAAGGTCCCCCAGCAGCAGCTCTGCTACAGTGAGCTCTGGAATCCTTACCCTCAATTAAGTAGGGTGGGGGCGGGGGCTGGGGAGGGCAGAGCCCCCCCCCATCATGGTTTGTCTTCTCAATTAGCAGTCAGCCTAGAGGGCACAGGCTCCATGGAACCATCCAGGTCACATGTTCACACCTTGAATTTACCAGCCAGGAAGCAGGTCCACCCAGAGTTCTGACCTGGCACACTGAGGTCCTCCTCTGGACCCCTGTCCAACCGAAGATGGGCTAATCCCCACCATCCACTCCCTGGGTCAAAGGACACTTTGGGTGCAGAGCGAATGGCCCTGACATGATGTGCCCTGGTAACTGGCATCATCTGTGGACACTGGTGGTACTCACCAGCTGCCTGCTGCTGTGGAATCTGAGTCTGATGGGGCAGGTTCCTAGAAACAATGAAAAATGGTGGGTGAAACTCTGTAGGTTTCTGTAGACAATTTAGAGACCAATTAAATTGCATTTTTTTTTTAAGCTAAAAGGACAATCACACATCTTTCTAATGGCAGAGCTGATCCAAGGACTGAGGTCTTTCATCCAGTGAGCCCAAAGCCTATCCAAACCCACCTCCCCTCTTCCCCCTTCCCCCACCTCCCCATTTGCAACACTGAGTCCCGGAACTATGGAAAGAAGGAAACACGTATTTAATAAGCACTTGCTATGTACTAGGTACTGTGCTAAGCACTAGGATACAAACCCACAAAAAGAAAGCCAGACCCTGCCTTCTAGGAGCTTACACTCTAATGAAGAAAGACAACACCCAAAAAGGAATTGAAAAGGGACCTGCCTCATGACAGTGCCAAACCAACCGACTGCCAATGACAAGCCTGAACCCCAAGAGCCCAAAGCCATGTGAGCTCTTCCTTCTCACTGGCTCCTTCACTGCACTGGTTCCAGCAGGCCCAGCCTTGTGGTGCCCACAAATAAGAGCCACAAGTCATCCCAATACTGCCTCAGTCTGAGGCATGTCCTGATGTGGGGCAGCAGCCATCAGACATAGGGACATCCAAGTCAGCCTCCTGTATTTGGACACTGCAAAGAATCAATGAAAGAATCCTGCAAAAGAGGATGTGGAGAGGGGATGGAAAGCCGTGGTCTCTTGGCACAGATTTTCCTTAAGGATAATCTTTCTCCTCATTTCCCAAAGTGGTCTGCTGCTCCCACCACTGTCTTTTCCTTCTTCCCAAAGAACAGCCACCATAAATCAAGGATTGACTTCAGTGAGGTCTATGAACTTAAGGAGCCAAAAATTGCATTTTTATTTCAATATAGTTGGTTTTCCTTTGTAATCCAATGTATTTTGGTTTATGCATTTAAGAATATGATTCTAAAAAAAAAAGAATATGATTCTGAGAAGGGTCCTATAGACTTCACCAGACTAACAAGTCCATGACACAAAAATGATTAAGAAAAATCCTGTTGTAAATACAGCTCTAATGACTGCCAAAAACAAACAACATTTACCAGGAAAAGTAAAAACATCACTCACCAAGTAGACATGAAATATAAAATGTTTAAGCTTCCTCATCCACCTGTTGTTCATTGGCGAAAGAGTGGGCAAAAATGCTTTTTCAAACATATGGCAGAAACTGAGCACAGACCAACATCTTACACCCAATACCAATTTAAAGTCAAAATGGGTACACAATTTAGATATAAAGACTGATACTATAAACAAATTAGGGCAAGAAATAGTTTGCCTTTCAGATCTATGGAGAAGGGAAGAAATAGATAGAGAACATTATAAAATGCAAAATGGACAGTTTTGATTACATTAAATTGAAAAGTTTTTGCACAAATAAAGCCAATGCATTCAAGATTAGGAGGGAAGCAGAAAACTGGGAAAGAATTTTTACAACCTCTGCCTTGCCCTACAGGAAAACAGAAGGGGAAAATAGAAGGATAAGAGAAGGGGGGTGATAGAAGGGAGGGCAGATTAGGGGAAGTGGTATTCAGAATGCATGCCATCTTGGGGTGGGGGGAGGGGTGAGACAGGGAGAAAATTTGGAACTCAAAAGTCTTGTGGAAGTGAATGTTGAAAACTAAAAATAAATAAATTAATAATTCAAAAAAAATTTTGAAAAAAGATTTTTTGCAAGCAGTGTCTCTGATAAAGGCCTCATTTCTAAAATATATGGAGAACTGAGTCAAATTTATAAGAATACAAGTCATTCCCCAACTGATAAATGGTCAAAGGATATGAACAGGCACTTTTCGGAGGAAGAAACTAAAGCTATCTGTAGTCACATGAAAAAATGCTCTAAATCACTATTGACTAGAGAAATGCAAGTCAAAATGACTCTGAGGTGCCAAATCACACCTATCAGATTGGCTAACATGGCAAAACAGGACAATGATAAATGTTGGAGAAGATGTGGGAAAATTGGAACACTAATGCATTGTTAGTGGAGTTGCGAAATGATCCAACCATTTTTGAGAGCACTTTGGAACTATGCCCAAAGGGCTATAAAAAATGTGCTTGCCCATGGACCCAGCAATACCACTTCTAGGTTTCTGTCCCAAAGAAAAAGATCATAAAAACAGGAAAAGGACCTACATGTACAAAAATATTCATAGCAGCTCTTTGTGTGGTGGCAAAGAATTGGAAATTGAGAGGATGCCCATCAATTGGGGAACAGCTGAACAAATTGTGGTATATGAATGTAATGGAATACTGTTGTGCTATAAGAAATGATGAGCAGGTAGACTTCAAAAAAACCTAGAAAGACTTACATGAACTGATGCAGAGTGAAATGAGCAGAACCAGGAGAACATTGTACACAGTAACAACCACATTGTGTGATGACTGACTTTGATGGACTTAGCTCTTCTCAGCAATTCAAGGATCTAAGACAACTCCAAAAGACTCAAGATGGAAAATGCTATCCACGTCCAGAGAAAGAACTATGGAGTCTGAATGCAGATCGAAGCATACTATTTGCTCTTCTTTTCCTTTGTTGTTTTGTTTTATTGCTTCATTCTCATGGTTCCTCCCATGAGTTCTAATTGTTCTTTACATCATGACTAATAGGAAAATATGCTTCACATGAATGTATAGGTATAGCCTATATCAGATTGTATGCCGTCTAGGGGGGAGGAGGGAAGAAGTGGGAGGGGGAGAAAATTTTAAACTCAAAATCTTATGGAAGTGAATGTTGAACACTAAAAATAAATAAATTAATTATCCAAAAAAAAATGCTTTTTCAGACACATAACACAAGCCTGTGTTATTTGTGATACTTCATAGGAGGCTGACGGTTGGGAGATTCAGCTGCTAAACATCCACAAAACCTTGTCATTGCAGGCAGCCTCCCCCTCATTTAGCATGTCCAACACTGCCTCCCGCCAGCATGTGCTTGCCCAAATTAGTGCAGTGTAGCAGGGTAGGGAATCTGCTGCTACCACATCATGGGATCGTCCCTGAGTGAGATGGTCATTTGAGGATAACTTCCCTCGATGCTCCTCCTAGCTACCGTCTGCACTCCCTTACAGCTGGTCCTCGGTTCTCAGTATCTTTGCCTGCTTATTCCCTGGTTTCTTCAGCAGGACCCACACTGGCCAGAGCCCACCATTACGTAGGCTAATGAGGGACCCCTTTACTGCACTCGCTGAAGACTCCTGGGGGTAAGTGTTTGGGAGAGGAAAGGAGCTGAGTCAAGAAAAGAAGCTAAATAAAAGAGCTTGTGTCTCTCAGCCCCTCCCCCTGAATGTGAAGTCCTATGAGTGTGCAGGTTCTGCAGTGGCCATTTATCTGAAGAGGGACCAGGGTGTGCCTCAGGAAGGGGTGACTGTGCCTCATTCACTGGGAGAGTGAATCAGTGCAGGATCCAAGCTGCCTAATTGGATGTTGAAAGTCTGAGACGGCAAGCAGGATTCTTATTTAATAAAAGCCGTCATAGCAGGATTCGTGCTGTGACCATGGGCAAGTCTTCCATCTCCCAAGTATCAAATCCTGTGCTTTTTACCCCCTGGGTGGGCACTCTAGCATACCTTGGTATCCATCCCATGCACTTCTTTTTCTTTTAAAGAAAGAAATACAACATACAAACTTATTTTCACACACACACACACACACACACACACACACACACACACACACGGCAGGCATATCCAGACCCAAACACACACTTTGCCCTGCCTCAGGTTCTGAGGAGATGAAGGGGGTTAGGTGCATACTTTAGCTCTATTCTCAAACAGCACAGCCCTCGTTCTGAGGGCTTGGGTTCAGGTCCCAGGGAGCCTTGCTTCTCAGGGCCTCTACACTGGGCTGGCTGTGCCATCCTAGCTGAAACCTTAGCTCCAAGATCACTATAGCTCAAACTCCTGGGGCCTGGAGGAAACAGCTTGGCCACACTTTAAGAAGAGGGATAGACGGTGCGGGACTGAGTAGAGAGAAGCCACAGGAGATGTGAGTGCCAGTGCCTGCTCTGCCACCAGCCAGCTTTATGACCTGGGCAAGTAACAGACTCTCAGTTTGCCAATGTAGAAATTAGCCAATTGAACTAGTCTCCAGAATGCTTCCCAGCTCAAAAAATCCCAACCCTTGAACATGATGCTGTCTCTTCCAGTGATTTCAGTGGCTCCTAAATGTATCTTTGCTCTACAGCACAGCCTTGCTTAAGTTCTGTCTTCATTTGATGTCAAGTCCTTGGTCAAGAACAAAATTGTCATTTGCAACATTGTTTCAATGGGAAAATAACAATTCACTTCAAGACCCTGTTTCTAGGAATCTGTTGTATAGAAAAGTAAGGGCAACCCCTCCCTGAAGGAATGTCCTCTGTGTCATCTTCTGCCTGAATAAGGAAATCTCTGACCCCAGCTACACCATCAGGACTGATGCTGAAATTCTAATTAAATGAGACATTTTCAATCCCAATGAGTTTAGAGGTTAAAACCAGTAGGCAGAGATTTTTTAAAATCTTAAAAATGTGTTCAGCAAATATGGAAACATTAATCTGTGTGGCTGGTATCATAAATAGTCTGAGATACAATGGTCCAGGGGTTAGGGCAGTGAGCAAGGTGCGCACTTGATCATCCTGGTGCACCCTGCCAGCTCTGGGGAGGCTGCGACAGTTGGAATGCTGCTCCCTCCCTGACCCATGTTTGGGTTAAGACTGATGCCTGCTTATCCAGGAAATGAGAAGATGAGAGAAGGAAGAAAATGATGGCAAAGGAGAGAGAATCGAGATAAGGAAAAGAGCAGGAATGAGGAGACAGCCAGGGCTGTCTTCCGGCCAGGGGCTAGTTGAGGCTGACACAGGCTGCTGATTGCATCAGCTGGGCTGGGGAGAAGTCAGCCACAGAGGACAAGGAGAAACAGCATCTCTTGAGCGCACTCTATCCTATGGAGGCTGACACATGAGTGTGGCATAAAATACCCCTTAAAATTTTAAGCTAGGGCAGAGCCAAGACGGTGGAGTGAAAGCAGTGACTTGCTTGAGCTCTCCCCCAAACCCCTCCAAACACTTGCAAAAAAATGACTCTTAACAAATTCTAAAGCAGCAGAACCCGCAAAAAGACAGAGTGAAACAAATTTCCAGCCCAAGATAACCTGGATGGTTGATCAGAAAGGTATATCGCACCAGGTGGGGAGAGGAGTGCATTTCAGCGTGGGCGTGCAGGCAGCAGCAAACCTGGAGCAGTCCTCAGAGGACTGAATCGCAGGCAGCTGTGGCAGTTTCCAGCCAAAGACAACTTGAAAGGTCAGTGGGAAAAGTCTGTGACTGCGGTGAGGTGAGAGAGAAGCTAGGTCTCAGCCACAAATCCTGAGCATGGCCCCAGGGTGGTGGCTGCCTCCTGAGCTTCCGACCCACAGACTCAAGTAATTGGCTGGGATCGTGAGCAAACCTTGCAAAAAGAATCAGAATATATTATCTTACTTTGGTGACAAAGAAGATCAAAATATAGAAGACAACAAAGTCAAAGCTCCTATATCCAAAGCCTCCAAGAAAAATATGACTCAGTCCCAGGCTTTGGAAGAGCTCAAAAGGGATTTTGAGAAGCAAGTAAGAGAAGTAGAGGAAAAACTGGGAAGAGAAATGACAGTGATGCAAGAAAATTATGAAAAACAAGTCAACAGCTTGCTAAAGGAGACCCAAAAAAATACTGAAGAAAATAACACCTTGAAAAATAACTTAACCTAAACGGCAAAAGAGGTCCAAAAAGCCAATGAGAAGAATGTCCTAAAAAGCAAAAGTGGCCAATGGAAAAGGAAGTCCAAAAGATTACTGAAGAAAATACTTCCTTAAAAATTAGAATAGCGCAATTGGAAGCTTTTGACTTTATGAGAAATCAAGACACTGTAAAACAAATCCAAAAGAATGAAAAATGAGAAAACAATGTGAAATATCTCATTGGAAAAACAACTGACGTGGAAAATAGATCCAGGAGAGAGAATTTAAAAATTATTGGACTATCTGAAAGCCATGATCAAAAAAAGAACCTAGACATCATCTTTCAAGAAGTTATCAAGGAACACTGCCCTGATATTTTAGAACCAGAGGGCAAAATAGAAATTGAAAGAATCCACCAATCACCTCCTGAAAGAGATCCCCAAAGGAAAACTCCTAGGAATATTGTCACCAAATTCCAGAGTTCCAGATCAAGGAGAAAATATTACAAACAACCAGAAAGAAACAATTCAAGTATTGTAGAAACACAATCAGCATAACACAAGATTTAGCAGCTTCTACATTGAGGGACTGCAGGGCATGGAATATAATATTCTGGAGGGCAAAGGAGATAGGACTACAACCAAGAATCACCTACCCAGCAAAACTGAGTATAATCCTTCAGGGAAAAAATGGTCATTCAGTGAAATAGGGGACTTTCAAGCATTCTTGATGAAAAGACCAGAGCTGAATAGAAAATTTGACTTTTAAATATAAGTCTCAGGAGAAGCATGAAGAGGTAAACAGGAAAGAGAAATCATAAGAGACTTATTAAGGTTGAACTGTTTACATTCCTGCATGGAAAGATGATATTTGTAACTCATGAGACCTTTGTCAGTATTAGGGTAATTGGAGAGAAAAAAGTATATGTATGTATGTATATAGATAGATAGATAGAAAGATAGATAGATAGAGGGCACAGGGAGAATTGAAGATAAAGGGGTCATATTTGGAGAATAAAATTAAGGGGTGAGAGAGGATTATACTGGAAGAAGGAGAAAGGGACAGGTAGAACGGGGTAAATTATCTCACAGAAAAAACAGAAAAGAAAAGGCTCTTACAGTGGAGGGGAAAGAGGGAGTGAGTGAATCTTATTCTCATAGGATTTGACTTAAGGAGGGAATAACATATACACTCAATTGAGTATGGAAATCTGTCTTACCCTACAGGAAAATAGGGGAGGAAGGGGACAAGAGAGTAGGGGGATGATAGAGAGGAGGGCAGATTGGGAAAGGGGATAAATCAGAAGCAAATACTTCTGAGGAGGAACAGGGTCAAAAGAAAGAATAGAATAAATGGGGGGCAGGATAGGATTAGGGGAAATAGAGTTAGTTTTTCACAGCATGTCTGCTATGGAAGTGTTTTGCATAACTGCACATGTATAACCTATATTGAGTTGCTTGCCTTTTCAATGAGGGTGGGTGGAGAGGGAGGAAGGGAGAAAATTTGGATCCCAAAGTTTTAAAAACACATGTTTAAAAAAAATATTTTCACATGCAACTGGGAAATAAGAAATACAGGAAATGGGATACAGAAATCTATCCTGCTCTACAGGAAAATAGAAGGGGAAGGGGATAAGAGAAGGTGGGGAGAGATAGAAGGGAAGGCAGACTAGGGGAAGGGGTATTCAGAATGCATGCCATCTTGGGGTGGGGGAGGGGCAAGATGGGGTGAAAATTTGGAACTCAAAATCTTGTGGAAGTAAATGTTGAAAACTAAAAATAAATATATTTATTAATAAAAAAAAAAGAAAAAAATTTTAAGCTAAAGGGAAAAGTAATTGAGATGCAAGCAGAGGCTCAAATGATGAACTCTACAGAGTCCATGGCCACTAAGGTTTCCAAAAGCACAGCCACCCAGTCTCTTTGGGGTCCCTACAGCTCAGGTTCACAGCCTTAATTCTGCGCAGATGTGGCCAATCTCACACCAGTTTCCCATCGACGCAGAACACCCAGGGTCTTGAACATCACCATACCCTCTAACTAGGCATTATCTTCTCTGAAGACCCTATCTTGCACTGGAGCCGTTTGGGCACCTGCCCATGTTCTAGAGACCTTGCCAAACCTCGGTCTTTCCCTGGCAGCCCAAGTGGGTCTTGAGAAAGACCCTGGGTGTTCCAGCTGCAGACACTCATCACAGCCATCATGGTGGTACTCACGGGTGGGCCTGCATCAGCGGCATACTGGTATTGTCATAGCTGTCCGTGTGCAGTGGGGGGACGATCTCCCCAGTGACCGGGTGGAACACAGGCAGCGTAGACAGTGGCCAAGCAATTTCTCTGTTCTTGGACATGTCACGCAGCTCCTTCGTGGATTTCTGAATAGCGCTGTGATGGACCAGTTGGATGCTAGGTCAGAAGAAATAAACAAGAGTGAGTAACAACCATCGGCTCCTCTGGACAGGAATGTCTAAAAAGTTACGGAAAAAAGTTCTCTCAAAATCAAAACACAGATTATTGCATTTCAGGCTTGCTAGACTCTGCCTATGAAATAGGAAACTTTATTTAGCACATAATTTTACGTGGTTGGAAGGAATTTATAATAATTATTTGATTAATCTTGAAACCAAGGATTGTTTCATTAAACTAAACTGTGCAGACTACCATATTTGAAATCTCCTTGCCAGGGAGCACGCGGCCTACGGTTTGGTTGGAATTCTCACACTCTTTCCCATTTTCACTCAGATCCTTCCTTCCTGGGGGGCATCTCGAGGATGTGCAGAATGTCCTTCAGTCAGGAGGCTCTGGCTGTAGATTTGGGGGAACTCTTTGCCTCAGGGGACTTGTCCTGTCTTCACTCTTTATAAAATTGTGCATGGGGACGTGACGTGTCTGTTTTAAGTTTAATTAGCTACATGTTCATTTCCGCACCCTTTTTAATGTGGATTTCCTGCCCTTCCAAGTCTGTCTATTTAAAAAGCAGCTCCCGCATTTTGGAAATAAACCATGGGGCCATATAAATGGAACAAGCGCCTGACGCACATGGATGAAGCGTGAAGGACTACGGAGAGATGGAAGGTCAATGGGGACGAAAACAGCAGGAAAGAAGACACTTACTCTGGGGTGTACATGTTTCTCTTTTCCCTAGAAACAAAACAAAATGTATGAATTAAATCATAGCATTGATATTTGGAACATCAGAACTATGTGCTGATGGCGGTCGAGCATGAGGTGGAGATGCTGCAAAGCGATATCAGGCCCTGGATGAGCACGGTGAGCCAGGGCTCGTGAAAGACACACACGGAGAAACAAAAAAAGCTTCGGGCTGAAACCAAGAAAGTCGGTGATGGGATGAAACAGGGTGACATGGAGGATGGAGGGAGGGGTGCTGCTGCTTGCTGGTTCCCTTCCTTACTCCTCAGGCCTCCCAGCTGGAGAGGAGAGCCGTGGCCCTCCAACCGGATCGCCCCCGACTGATGCTGGGATGGGCGCTGGGGCTTCGGATGTTTTGCGCACTCCATCGATCCGATGGCCGAGAATTCCAAGCCTGTTCCAACTATAACTTCTGGTCAAGCTGAGGCATCCACTCGGTGTCCACTCATCGCAGCAGATGCTCCAGCTGAGCATCTGCCTCTCTGGACCTCTCCTGAGAGGGTCCCTAGGTCTCAGTCTAAACCAAAGTTAGAGTTGGAACTTTCTTGGGACCTAGCTGGCACTGGGGGGCTGCCTTATTCCTACAGACTTTGCATGATGTAATCAGACCTCCTACATCCACTGATGAGGGTCTTAAATTGAGTTTAACACATGTTTAAGAGGAAAATATGGTTTCCACTGGTTTATTGAGAATTTTATGAACTACGGGAGCTGCTTTTGAGTGTGAGCTGGTGTGTTGTGAGCTGAGGAGACGCGACCATTCATTCTGTAGTAGAGCACTGAAGTACTCACACGCCTTCCCGGCGGCAGCACATGATGTAGGCGAGGACCAGAAAGAGTACCAGCGCTACCGCCGAGGGCACGGCCAGAGTGACGAGGAAGTCCGCGTAGTAGTCTCTGCTCTTCAGCGAGTCGGGAGGAGGCCGGTACTCCCCACCATCAGGCAGAATCCCCTCTCCACAAACCACCTCCTGATAGGTGGACACTTGTTTTGTTTTGTCAACCTGACACAAGAGAGAAAATGGCAACACGCAGATTAACGGCTAGAAGCCAACGCGCACTACCAGCGCCAGTAGCTGCTGGCTTTGATAGACAGCTTTGCCTATGTTATCACTAGAGCCTCAAGCAGCCCCATTTTACAGATGGGGAAATGGAGGCCCAGGGGGGAAGTGACTTGCCCAGAGTCACATGGCTAGTTAAGAATCTGACTCTAAGTCCGGGACTCCATGCACTGGGCCACCTGGTCTTGAGCAGCTTCCAATTATCCAGAAACAGCAAACAAGGCAACCGGGAATCCCACGAAGATCCCAGTTCCACTTGAAGCAAGACTGTGAACTCTCAGTGCAAGGATGACAGAGAAGTGCCCACAGATGCCCCAGCCACATGTGGACCAATACCCTACACACACACACACACACACACACACACACACACACTCACACATCACACACACATACACACTCACACACACTTACATACACAGACACACACACACCACACGCACACACACTCACACACACATACACTCACACACATCACACACACACATACACACACCACACACACACACATCACACACACATACACACTCACACACTTACACACACACTCACACACACCACACACACTTACATACACAGACACACTCACACACACACCACACGCACACACACTCACACACACATACACTAACACACATACAGACACATACACACACACACTCACACACATACACACACACTCACACTCAGGATCATGGGACCCTTGACCTGTAGCTGGAAGAGCTAGAGACGGGCCCAATGTGAGCTCACCTGGGGTCCCTGAGCTAGTCAGAGCCCGCACCTTGGGCATCATGAGTCCTAACATAGCCTCCCTCTTCAATGCAGCTCAGAGCCCAGGTAGAAAGCCCAGCTGAGGTTCTCACCTTTGAACATAAAGGTCTCTTCACCCCACTCTTCGCTCCCCCGTGACACAGCTGGAGTATTGACAAGTATTGACAAGAACCACGGGCCATCCAAAAGACAGTGGCAAGGAAGAGAAATTTCCAAATGAAAGAATTTGTTCCTAAATCACAAAGGGACTGGGCTGCTGTATACACAACACATACCTCCCTAGGATCTAACAACGAAAGACATAGCCCACTTTCAGTTCTTATACAAGAAACCATGGTTCTATTCACCCAAGTAATGTCTCCCATCATAGCTGGCATGGGCATAGCTCTACTTGGTTGGGACTACAGCATTTGTTGACACATTTGACAAATGGGGAAACTGAGGTTCAGATAGGTGACCTTCCCTGCCCAGGAATATCTGAGGCAGAGTCTGAACCCAGATTTCCTTGATCCCAGGTCCAGCATTATCCCCTGTATGATTGCTTCTTCCGGCATCCTGGCTAGAGAATTTCAACTCAGAAAGAATTGGGGGGATTGAGTTTGAGGGGTTTCCCATCAGTCCTGACAAGATGAAAACAATGATAAGCCCCCCACATTCATCACCTGTCTGAACAGGGGGCAGCTAGAACCAGAAAGGGGTGGGGAAGGGGAGGGCTGGCAGATTCATGGCAATGGGGAGAGAGCCCATTGCAAATGACGCCAGATGGACTGACTCTGAGCACCTAAACACAAGGTGAGCCCCCTCAGAGAAAGGCAAGCACTGACTGCCCCCAAGACAGCAACACTACCACTGGAAACCAGGACGGTCAGCCACCTTTTGGCCCAAGCTGCCAAGACACATTCAGATGCCAGAAGCCATTTCAATAAAAGATTCCAGGACTGGTTCCTTCTTCGTCTCAGTATTCTAGTACCTAGCGCAGTGCTGGGCACTCAGCAGACACTCAATAAATTTTTGTGAGTGGAATGACTCAAAGTTCTGCTCTGAACACGGGCCTGTCCTTAGAAGACTATTCCCTACTCTCTAGCCTTCTTCCCTCCAGCAGAAGCCAGGCATGGCCCAACTCTTGTCTTCGTATTCCCAGGACCTGGCATGGTGCCTTGCATACAGTAGGCACCTCATAAATGTTTGTTGAACCTGACACTAACAACACACAGGACTAGGAACTTGGAGCTGAAAAGACTGTCAAGGTCACCAAAATCATGTCCAAGAGAGGGCAGGGAAGTGCTCAAAGAGGTGAAGGGCGTCCTAGGTCACACAGGTAGGAAATGGCAAAGCCATAATTCAAGTCCCTGGACTGTGGGTCCAAGGCCCAGCCCATACCCTCCTGCTGCCTCAGTATGGAGCGTCACAACTACAATCTCCCCTCCCAAGGCAGCCCAAGGCATTCTCTGAAGGAAATACTTGGTCTGGCTGTCCATGGGATTGAGCTGTCTGAAGGTTAGGACAGAGGACAGAGCTAGCAGACAGAAGCTGGCGCTCTCCGGGCCTGGTCGAAGGTTATGGCAGCTGTGAAGCCCACCTTCTCCAGGAAGTTGCTCCTGCTGCCCTTTAATCTGAGTGCTTTCCCTCTGCTGCTTATCCCCAATTTATCCTGATTTTTTCTTGTCTGTATATAATTGGTGGCTTATTGTCTCTCCCTTTAGACTGGGAACTCCTTTAGGACAGGGATTCTCTTTTGCCTTTCTTTGTGTCTCGAGCACTTAGCACAGTGCCTGGCACACAGTAGGTACCTAATATTTTGTTAACTGACTACCAGCATCTGCTGGAGAAGAGGCAAGTTTCCAACCAACCAACATGCGCTTATCAGGGACCTATGTGTGGCCAGCACAAATGAAGCAGTCTGTGCCCTCAAGGAACTTGGGGTCTACTGGAAGGGTCAGCCTGCACACAAGTAATTATGTAGGAGACGGAGAAAAAGAGAGAGAGACATGGGCAGCAGTAACAGATTTCGTAAGTAATTATTAATAAGTAACCACATATTATATTATTATATTAATAGGTAATTTAATAAGTAACCACTTATGGTGGGGGGAAGGGGTGCGGAAAACTGTCAGCACCTTTGGAGCTGCTTCATCTAGCCATACATTTGCCTCCAAAGAGCCCTCAGCTCCTTCATAGTGGTGAAGGCACTTACCAGAGAAATTTTGCACCAATCAATATAAAACTGGGCTCGAAATTTTTTATCACACGTTATAATGGGTTCCATTTCTTGGCTGCAACGCAGCTGGTTCTGTGGATTCTCCACCTCCCGTAAACATGAAGAAAAGGGGACATCGGCTCCGACCATCACATAGACCCTGAAGAAAGAGAGAAACAGGTTGGGATGTTGGCTGGCCCTCAATGGCAACTGGAATCAGGGTAGAACAAATCAGTCTCCATAGCAGGCTCTCTCCTGAAATGAATGGGTGACAACCTGCTTGGTCTGTCAATGGAAGCTCTTGGGTAATGGTGGGGCTCCAGAGAGTATCTTCCCTGTTATTCTAGGGACTTACTGCCTCATTGGGGGGGGGGGGGGAAGAGAAGGGGGGGGGGGGGGAAGGGGGGGGGGGAAGGAGAGAGACAGGGAAAGGGGGGGAGAGAGACAGAGACAGAGACACAGAGAGAGAACATAACTAAGCATGGGTGAAGAGACTGCCAGGCACCCAAGAGGAGCTGGTGACCACAAGTTTACACTGGATTTGGCTCAAGTTTCTTAGCAACTGAAGCCAAGAGGAAAAGAGCCTGGACTCATCAATGTTCATTTTGTGCAAAAGAAGGCACCTAATCCACCCTACAGAGATCACCCTTTTTCCTGGAATTGAACCCAAGCAGAAACAGACAACAAACATCCTTGCCAAGTGGACCCTGAGGAAAGTGGACAGTGGCTTGAACGCACTTTGGGAGGTGGTGCGGAGGTGGGGCTCCAGGGATGCTTATGGCTCCTGCCTGCGGTTCAACAGAGGGCGCTCTAAGGAGCATGAAGCCATAGGCTCCCCTCTTCCCCACAGTTCCCTTCCCTGAGCCCACACTGTCTCCTCCTGCTCCTGCTAGGATGTGGGCTCTTTGAAGGCGGACAGGGACCATGCCATTTCTCTCTCAGTATGCGCAGCTTTTAGCGCAGGGCCTGGCACTGAGTAGGTGCCTGTTGAATGGAACCCCAAGCTCTGTGAGCAGAGACTCTGATTGATTCCATTCATTGAAGAGGAGGCTGGTGAACATCTCAAAAGGGCAACAGTGGGTACAAGGCACTAGCCTGGCTTTTGCGCAGAACGTCGTGTCATCTCCTTTTCTGAAAGAAGGGGAATACTGGGGATAGTTCTCTTCAATTCTAACGATGGAGAATCTCACGCTCTTCTTGTGGAGAAGATGGAGAGGTGGACGAAATGTTAAGGCCATCGCATGGATCCAGAACATGCTTGTTACTGGTTCCAGGTTTCTTGTGGAGGACTCTGAGGATAGGGCTGCTTCCCAGGGTTATCAGCAACTTGGATAAAGGCATAAATGGCTTGCTCATTGAATATGCACACTGAGCTATGAGGGACAGCGAACATGCTGGACCAGAGAAGCAATGTCCAAAAAGACTGTGATCCTAGGGTGTTCTGCCAACCTAATAAGATGAAATTCAAAAGGGAGAAGTGCCAAGTCATGAACTTGGGTCCAGAAACCCAATCCCCTTCACAAGTATGTGATAAGGAAGGCACGAGAGATAGCAGGTGTTCTAAAAAAAAAAAAAAGACTCCAGGGTCTCAGCAGAATGCAGATTCAATGTGAGCCAGCAGTGGAAGGGAGCAGCACTCAGAGGAGGGAATGGTCCCACTGTCCTTGGCTCTCATCAGACTTCATCTGGAGTCCTGGGCCGGAGGATCCAGGAAGAGCAGCCATGTTGGTGAAGGGCCTCAGAGGGACAAATCTCCACTCAGTGACTGGATAAACTTCCTGCCAATGAGAGCTGCCCCACAATGGAACAGGCTGCCTCAGCAGAGGATGGGCAATTACTCCTGGGTACTCCTTGGTCCCTTCCTTCTGTCCCCAGCCCTCGGCTTGGCACCTGGCACACTACCACCAGTCAATCAATGGCTGGAGAATTGGATCTCGGATAATCTAACAATACAGGCACAGAACTCAGAAAGCCAACCTGTCCAGGCGCTGATGTCTCCAGTCGGTGATGTTTGATGACACACACTTGGAGTGCACATCCCATATGCTGTTGATTGAGGGAGGAGGACAAAGTTGCCGTTTGGCAATGGACATCATTTAAATGGACGCAGAACAGGCCAAGTGACCAACTGCAAAGAATAGTGAGTTTCTGTTCTATGGCAATGTGGAAGGAGGTCTGCAATGGATCGCCCCAGCGGTCTGGGATGGGCCTTGAGCTCTTTAGCACTTTTATCAATGACTTGGACAAAGACATAGGTGGTGAGTTCATCAGATGTGTGGAGGACGAAATAGCTAACACACTGGATGGCAGATAAAGGATTAAGAGAGATCCTGGACTATGACAGACTAATAGATCATAGAGATCATGGCTAGAATGCTGGCCAGACCTCATCCTCTTCTAACTGATGTAACCCCCTAGCAAGTAGAGCACCTTCCTAGCCAGGGACTATGGGGCTGCCATGCTGGGTTAGCAGTTCTGATAGGAAGCCAAGACAAGAATAGCTGTGGGTCCCACAGACACCAGGACTGCAGATAAAAGACATCATATTCTCTATCACTCCCTCCTCAGCATGGAAAACTGCTAATATTTTTATATCTCAAAGAGGATTCTTTGACCTTTCTAAAGAAAAGGATTTTGGAAAATGTTTTTGGAAAATTTTGGACGATTGGGAAAATTTGGAAGATTCGGAAAATATCTTTTATTTAGAATAGATTTGGTGAGAAGACTGAAAATCCAAATGACCATTTTGAAACCACCACAGCATGAACATGTGAGCTCTTTGCTTACCCTTCCTTCATATCATTAATAGGGAGGGGGACACGTCCTCCACGGTCCAGGGCTGACGTGATGTTAATGGCGTTCAGACGTTCTGGCTGCCAGACATTCTTCACCGCCCCGAGAAAATCACCAAGAACCTCACTTGCCAGCATTTCTTCCACGTTCATATTTTTTATGAAGAATTCTGCTTGATAGGGTAACAGGAAATCTAGTTTTTGATGAGAAAAATGTATATGTTTGATTTGAGAATTTCCAGAAACCCAATGAACAACACTAAGAGTGGTAGCACTGTTGCCATGGAAACAGGATCCCGGCTCAAACCGGCTTGGCGGCTTCCATGGGAAAAGATGCAGTTACTGCAAGTCCATCCCTCTGTCCACAGAGGGGATGGGGAAACATCACTGTACTCCACCAAGATTGTTCTGAACCCTCTCGACATCGCCTCCCTCCAATTCTGTGCCATCCGCAAATGGGATGAGCATGACATCTCTGCCTTTGTCCAAGGCATCCAAAATAGAAATGCAAAAGGCACAGAGCCACGCCCAGATTTCTGGGGCACACTGCAGGAAAATCTCCTTCCCAACTGACGTCGAATTATTAGCAACTGCCCTTTGGTTCATTCAACTAGTTCTGAATACACTGTGTACTGCCACTTAACTCAATTCTCACAGTCATAATATTCACATGACATAGTTTGTCGAAGGACAACGTTCTCCTTCAGTAGTCCTGATACACCAGGACTAGTTAGAGCGCCGGACCTGGAGTCGGGAAGTCATCTTTCAGGGTTCAAATCTAACCCCAGACACTTAATGGCTGTGGGACCTTGGGCAAGTCACTTAACCCTGTTTGTCTCAGTTTCCTCATCCAGAAAATGAGCTGGAGAAGGAAATGGCAAGCCATTTCAGTGTCTGTGCCAAGAAAAACCCAAATGGGGTTGAGGTTACAAAGAGTCAGACACACCTGAAATGACTGACCAACAAACCCAGCAAAACTGTAAATGCAGTTGGTCTGGCATGTCGTCTTCTTGGTGAAGCCAGGATGGCCCTCAGTAATGACTGCATACATTTCTAGATGTGTAGTAGCCATCCCTTTAATAATACATTTTAGGACTTTTCAGGGATGGAAGTCAACCTCCCTGGCCTAGGGTAGGATGACTCCCTCTTCATTCTCCATCTTCAGCACTTCTCCTGTGAGATCAGCCCCCACACCTGCCAGCTCTTGCAGACCCTAGGACAAAGGTCACTTGGGTCATGAGGGGGACCTTGTCCAGGGCAGCCAAGTACTCTTAGCATCACCTGAATGACCTAGGGATCAAGGCCCTTTCCAGTCCGAAGATCATTCATCTCATTAGAAAAAGCAGAAAGAAAATTGAGCAGTAGCCCAATGCTTTCCTTGATTCGTTCTCCTTCCCCCCAAGACTCCTAACAACTTCCCCCTGTCTTGATTTAGCTCAACTAGAGCGTTAGCCCACTTGCCTCTCCTCCAATTACGAAGACATGCCACCATGCTTACAAGAACATTTGATTGGTTCCTGTTTGTCAATTGTCAGAAAATCAGGAGATTTGGGGTCCAGGGGCTCCAGAGCTGTTCCACCATGCCACCCCACCCCCCCCAGAGCCTTGGGGTGCTGGCCCAAGCATAGCCCCTCAAGAGACACAGAAGAGAGGGAAGATTTCAGCCACTGCTTCAGCGCCATCTTGGGATCCAAACAAATGATCTTTGTAACTAGGCAGCCCTCATGGACGCATCATTATTTTCTGAATAAGGAGCTTGCTGGAAACAACTCAGAATTTTTGGTTCTCTCACACAAATGGTTATAAAAATGGGCTTTCCGCAGTGATACCACTTATTAGTACTTCCACCAGAAACTTCTTTAGAGACATCCAAGGTTTCCCCTTTGGGAATAATTTGTTTTTACACATTAGGAATATTGCACTCCTTGAGAAACACAGGGGAGCTGAGGAATACAAAATATCGGCTGTGTCTGGACACTCAACTTATTTCAGAAAAAGCCTTGGGCTCTCAGCCAAACCACCAGTTATTTGGAAAAATACGTCTGACCAGTGATGCCTGTTACTAACAGGTGCCATGGCTGAATTCAACCTTTTTAAAAGCAACAGCTAACCAAGGGTTTAAATCTCTAGAACACACTCACCTCCTAGAATGTCACAAGAAGACTCACACCTTCCTCAGCGCCATTTCCCTGATGGTCTCAGACTCACCAAACTCATTCTTTACACAATCCCTCTGACTTGAACCACAATCAACCGCTAGGAGCTAAAACCAGGGGGGACCCTTTGGATTCAGGAAGGGTTTTTTGAACTGAGCAGGGATGTCTTTCCCTCCAAAGTTCAGTCATTTAAAGTGCTATCCCGGCCCCAGGGCATTTAACAAACACCCCTGTGTTGCTTATGGCACCTGCTTACAATCCACCCACAGATCTCTGCATTGTTTTTGATTTATCTCTGTTAGACAACATTACTATACACACGTGGAAAGCGTGCCAGATTGGGGTTCAGATCCAGGCTCTGTCCCTCACAGCCTGTGTGGCCTCAGGAAAGTCACTAACCTCTCTGGGTCTCTGTTCCCTCATCTGTAAAGTGAGAATCCCTTCTGGCTCTAAATCGATGGTCTTGGAACAGGTTCCCTTGTGTGCTTCTCAGACCCACACTCCACCTCAGGGTGCACTGCCCTTGGACTAGTCTCCATTTCCTTCTCTCCCAGTTTGAAAATCATTGCTAACACTACCCAGCTCCTGCTTTGTTCCCTGAAAACCACTGAGCGACGTGAAAACAGAAATCTGCTAGAAAGAAGGGCTTGGGGGCCCACTCTGCTGAGCTCCCGGCTCGCTGTTGCCATGGCCACAGCCTCTCAACCAGTCATGCTGATCAGTATTCTGTCAGAGCCGACAAGGGGCCTCAGAGAAAAGCAGAGGAAAAATACAATCAGGAAAATGGCGGCTAGACAAGAAGACAGGCTGGTCACGTGGCAAGGGGACAGGGAGAAGGACAAGATGGCTGCCATCCCAGCAGGGGCTTCTTTGGGACTCTGGGGGTCCCTGGAGAAAGGGAGGAAGGCCCCCAGCAGGGGAGGGGACCCCTGTGGGGACAGTATGGGAGCAGAGCTGCACTGTGGAGGGACCTTCCAAGTGGAGGAGACCGCAGGGGCATTCAAACATTCTTTCACCTTCTAAGACAATGGCTCTTCCCACAAATCTTAAAATTCACCCTCATGTCCATTAGGATAAAAATTCAACCCTTCAGATAAAATCCTGCTCCACGTGGTCAGGCCTTGTTCCAGGATGCAGGAACTGAGGGTCCCCAGGAGCTGTCAATCAACCAACCACTTCACCTGCAGCCTTCCTATGTAATCAATCAGGCCCCCACTGCAGTATAATACCAACCAATGGGAGGGCCTGCTGGCCCCAGGACTTGCCTGGCAAGCCTCAGGCAGGAATGCTGCCGCTAGGGAACGCAGGCCAGCTCTCACAGCTTCCTCCATTAGATTGCGAGCTTCCCTTGGGTCCCCAGGGCTTAGCACAGTGCCCTGCACACAGGCAGTGCTTAATAAATGCTTGTTAACTGATAGACTGACTGATTTGGATCTGGGATCACTATAATCACCGAGAACTCATGAGAATTCAAGGCAGGCCTTATGGACCCAAACAGCCTGCTCCAAGAGGCAGCCCCAGTTCTCCAGGTCAGACCCCAACAGAAGTGCATGTCCAGGATTTAGAGTTAGGGTCAGCCAGCTGTGAGCTCTGTTCCTCCAGGACAAAGGCAGCTTGAGAACACGCCTCCACCTTGGCCCACAAGGCAAACAGGGCAACCCCATTACGAACAAGGTTCACCCAAGGAGAGATTAGACCCTGCCGACCAGCCCCAAAACAATTAGGATTGCCCTCTGCTTATGACTTTGTGCCACAAATGTGTCTAACAATTTGTGTCATCATTGACAGTGCAAAGGTGGGCTTTGGCCCATGTCAGATCAAAGGGGCTCGATTCAAAATGACAGGGCTGGAATTGAGGAAGAATCTGGGAAGCCAGCAGAGGGAGGTGGCCACATCATAGCAGGGTAGGGGTTCTACTAATCACATTTGGTCTCTCCACACCCTCATCCTTGTTCCAGAAATGGACATTATTTCTAACTACAAAATTTTAAAGAATAGTGTTATATCTTTAACTATCTGAGGCCTGAGGAAAAAAAACAATTAGTCTGATGCCAAAGGAAGGGCAAGAAAAGTTGGCTCTCTAATTCCAATATCTTCTTATCCTTGATTTTCAGAAATCCACATCTTTCAAAAAGGTATCATGGCACATCTTGGGAAATCAGTTAGCATCTGAGTACACACGCATTTAGAGATGACTTTCTCAGATATTTGCCTATTGGCTAAGTTCTGGGAAACCAATGGTGACCCACGTGATTGTTACTGTTTCATTTATTGATTTTGTTACACTTTAAATTCCGAGTCGTCTCCCACCCTCCACAGAGAAGGCCAGCGTTTGATACAGACATATATGTGGAACCATCCACTCTATACTTCTAGATCAGCTCTCTCTCGGGAGGTGGAGAGCACCTTCTGTCATAGATCTTTTGTAGCTGATTTGAATGATGCCATTCCTGAGGATAGCTGAGTCATTCACAGTTACTCTGAACAACATTGCTATTACTATAGACAGCGTTCTCTTGGTTCTGCTCTTTTCATTATTTCACACATGTTCTAAGATCACAGAGCTCATCACTTCTTAAAGTATAGTAGTGTTCCATCACAATCGCACACCGCAGCTTGTTCAGCCATTCCCCAGTTGATGGGCATCCCTGCCATTTCCAGTTCTTTGCCACCACAAAGAAAGCTGCTGTAGACATTTTAGGACATAGAGGTTCTCCTTTTTCCCTGATTGCCTTGGGAAACAGGCCTGATAGTGGTATTGCTGGGTCAAGGGGTATGCACAGTTTTATAATGCTGTGGGCAGGATTCCAGATTACTCTCCAAAGTGGCTGGATGAGTTCACAGTTCCACCAACAGGGAATTAGGGTCCCAATTTTTCCACATTCCCTCCAGCATTTTCATTTCCCCCTTCAATCATTTTAGCAAATCTGATAGGTGTGAAATGGTACCTCAAAGTTGTTTTAATTTGCATTTCTTTAATTAATAATGATTTAAGCATATTTCATATGACTACATATAGCTTTGATTTCTTCCTTTTGACCATTTATCAATTGGGGAATGTCTCAGTCATAGATATAAATTTGTCCTATGTAAATTTGACTCAGTCCTCCGTATATTTGAGATATGAGGCCTTCATCTAAGAAACTGGCCATAAATTTTCTCCCCCAATTTTTTGCTTTCCTTCTAATTGTGGCTACATTGGTTTTATTTGTACAGAACCTTTTAAATTTAATGTAATCGAAATTATCTGTTTTATGTCCCACAATGCCCTCTACTTCTTGTTTATTCATAAATTCTTCTCCTATCCATAAATCTGATAGGTAATATGTTCCATGTTCTTCTAATATCCCTTTATGTCTAGGTCATGTATCCATTTTGACCTTATCTTGGTAAATGGTGTAAGATACTCATCTTAATCTATACCTAGTTTCTGCCAGATTGCTTTCCAGTTTTCCCAGTAATTTGTTTTTTACCAAATAGTGAATTCTTATCCCTATAGCTTAAATCTTTGCGTTTATCAAATAGCAGGTAAGTTATTTACTACTGTGTCTACTCTGTTCCACTGATCCACCTTTCTATTTCTTAACCAGTACCAGAAAGTTTTGATAATTACCACCTAATACCGTTTAAGATCTGATACTGCTAACCCTCCTACCTTTGTGATACTTTTAATTAATTCTTTTGATATTCTTGACCTTTTGTTCTTCCAAATGATTTTATTATTTTTTCTAGCTCAACAAAATATTGGTAGTTTAAGTGGGATGGCACTGAATAAGTAGATTAGGTAAAATTGTCAGTTTTGTTATATTGGCTCCACCTACCTATGAACAATTAATATTTCTCCAATTATTTACATCTGACTTTATTTGTATAAAAAGAGTTTTGTAATTATGTTCAGATAGTTCCTGGGTTTGTCTTGGCAGGTAGACTCCCATGTATTTTATATTGCCTATGGTTATTTTAAATGAAATTTATCTCATTATCTCTTCTGGCAGGGCTTTGTTGGTGATATACAGAAATGCTGATGATTTATGTGGGTTTATTTTCTATCCTGCTACTTTGCTAAAATTATTGTTTCAACTAACTTTTTAGTGGAATCTCCAGGATTTTCCAAGTATATCATTATATCATCTGCAAAAAGAGATACTTTTATTACCTCATTGCCCATTCTTCAATTCTTTTTTCTTCTCTTATTGCTATTGATAGCGTTTCTAGTACAATATTGAATAATATTGGTGATAATGGACATCCTTGTTTCACTCCTGATCTTACTGGGAAGACTTCTATCAGGGGTGGGGAACCTGCAGCCTCGAGGCCACATGTGGCCTTTTGACAGAGTCCAAGTTTTACAGAACAAATTCTTTTATTAAGAGGATTCGTTCTGTGAAGTTTGGAATCGGTCAAAGGGCTGCACTTGAGGACCTAGAGGGCCACATGTGGCCTCGAGGCCACAGGTTCCCCACTAGCTTATCTCCATTACAGATACTGCTTGCTCATAGTTTTAGGCATATGCTTCTTATCAATTTAAGGAAAAATCCATTTATACCTATGCTTTCAAGTGTTTTTGAACAGAAATGAGTGTTGTATTTTGTCACAAGTTATTTTTTCTGCATCTATTGATATAATATGATTTTTGTTACTTTTGTTACTGATATAATCAATTACGTTAACTATTAATAGTTTTCCTTATGTTAAACTATTCCTGCATTTCTGGTATAAATCCCACTTGGTCACAATGCATAATCTTTGTGATATATTGCTGTAGTCTTCTCGCTAGTATTTTATTTAAGATGTTTGTATCAATATTCATTAGTGAAATTAGTCTGTAATTTTCTTTCTCTGTTTTTGCTCTTCCTGGTTTAGGTATCAGTACCATATTTGTTTCAAAAAAGGAGTTTGGCAGGATTCCTTCTTTGCCTATTATTATTCCAAATAATTTTTATTTAATATTAGAATGAGTTGATTTTTAAATGTTTAGTACAATTCACTTGTAAATCCATCCGGTCCTGATGCTTTTTTTTCCCTTAGGAAGCTTATTTATGGCCTGTTCAATTTTTTTTTCTAAAATAAGTTTTTTTTAGATATTCTATTTCCTCTTCTGTTAATCTAGGCAGTTTATATTTTTATAAGTATTCTACTTGACTTAGATTGTTAAATTTTTTGTCATCCAAATGGGCAAAATAACTCCCAATAATTGCTTTAATTTCATCTTCGTTAGTAGTATATTCACCTTTTTCATTTTTGATACTAGTAATTTGGTTTTCTTCTCTTGTTTTAAAAAAATCATATTAACCAATGGTTTAACTATTTTTTTCATAAACCAGCTCTTAGTTTTGTTTATTAATTCAATGGTTTTCTTACATTGTTTTATTAATCTCACTTTTAATGTTCAAGATGCCCAATTTGGTGTTTAATTGGATATTTTTAATTTGTTCTTTTTCTAGTTCTTTTAACTGCATACTCAATTCATTGATCTGCTCTTTCTCTAATTTATTGATGTGAGCACTTAAAGATATAAATTTTCCTTTGCTGCCTCCTATAAGTTTTGGTATGTTGTCTCATTATTATCATTCTCTTTAATAAAATTATTTATTGTTTTTGTGATTTGTTCTTTGACCCACTTTTTTTGTAAGTTTTTTTTTTTTTTTTTTTTTTTTTTTTTTCTTTTTTTTTTTTTTTTTTTTTTGCTTTTTTGGTGAAGCAATTGGGGTTAAGTGACTTGCCCAGGGTCACAGAGCTAGTAAGTGTCATGTGTCTGAGACTGGATTTGAACTTACGTCCTCCTGACTCCAAGGCTGGAGCTCTACCCACTGTACCACCTAGCTGTCCCCCAATTAATTTTTAATCTGTGTTTCCATGGTCTTTTATTAAATGTAATTTTTATTGCATTATGATCTGAAAAGGATGCATTTAATATTTCTGCTTTTCTGCATTTGACTATAAGGTTTTAATTCCCAAATATATGATCAATTTTTATAAAAGTGACATGCATCACTGAGAAAAAGGTATATTCCTTTCTATTCCCACTCAGTTCTCTCCAGGTATCTAACATATCAACTTATCTAAGATTCTATTCATCTCTTTGACTTCTTTCTTATTTATTTTTTCGTTAGATGTATCTAGTTCTGAGAAGAGAAAGCTAAAGTCCCCCACTATTACGGTTTTGCTATCTATCTCCACCTGTAATTCATTTATCTTTTCCTTTATAAATCTGGATGCTATAGCATTTGGTACATACATCTTTAGTATTGATATTACTTCATTATCTAGGGTACCTTTTAACATAATGTAGTTTCCTTGCTTATCTCTTTTAATTAAATCTATTTTAGCTTTCGCTTTGTCTGAGAAGTTACTGTTTTTTAAGTCAACAATCTCATGTCAGGATTCTGTAGGAATCTTTTTACAACTCTGGCAAATACATTTTTAAAAGGACCATAGGACCTGTGTCCCTGCCTTTTACAGGGAGGCAAACTGAGGTCCAGAGAGTGGAATTGACTTGTCCAAAGTCACACAAGTAGTTGACAGTAAGTAGGATTTAAATGTGTGTGTGTGTGTGTGTGTGTGTGTGTGTGTGTGTGTGAGTGTGTGTGTGTAGGGGTCCCACCTTGATTCTAGGTTAGAGCCAGAGAAAACCTCATGGAGCCCCTTCAGTTTAGAGATCAGGAATAAAATGTTTCAGGAGACTTTCAGCAACATTTCTTTGTGCTATTTAGCCCTGGCTCTGGTCGGGCTAAGTCCACATTCAGCATGTGCCCCCAGATCCCTACCTTGCTCCAAAGACACTTTTCTTTCAGACATACCTTCTGCTGACATGATGTTAATGACCAGGTTGTGCCTCGCTGTCTCAAAGGTGCGCCTGTTACAGGCCGTTATCTAGAATGAGCAAAAACGGCAAGCTGTGAAGCAGTACAGTTATCTGAAAATACAATCTTGACGAGACAATGAAAACGCTACTCCGCTGACATTTGTAATTCACTTTCAGACTGACAAAATGGGCTTCTTTATCCTGCCAGAACAAGCCACAACTTTGGGCTGCAGTCAGATAATAATGAACTAATCTGGTTTAATAAAATGGAGGCCACTCATCAGCCCCTCCCATTCTCCTCCTCCACACATCTGGATGTCTGGAACATTGGCCTTTCCCAGTGCTGATTTCTTCCTCCTGTCCAACACCCAGCCCAACCCACTGTGGGTTGATACTGTCTGTCCCAGACTTAGAGACCTACAGGAAATCTCTGTAGCATCTCCATCCCAATGCAGGTTGAAATCTTGGCTCAGAGTGAATAGTCAGAGTGAATAGCTCAGAGTAAATAGCAGTTGTTTCTGTTTTGCCCAGAAACCTTGAGGGTCTTCCCCTCCCTGTTTGAGAGTTGTTGTTGTTGGTTTGTTTGTTTGTTTGTTTGTTTTAGTAGGCAAACTAAACCATTTTTTGCCTTATTTCTTACCTAGCCTTAAATCATGAATGGGTGTTGTCTTGGACAAAGTGAGCCCTGGGAAAGACCTTCCTAAAAAGGCCAATGCATCCTGGGTCATCTCCAGTCACCCTGACCTATGTCTTGCCACTGGACTCAGATGATCCTGGAGGACAGAGTGAGGCTGATGACTTTGAGCAGCCCTGCCTCACTTAAATCCAATTCACTTGCAAGTCAAGACATCAACCCCCTGATGCTACTGGTCCTCTTCAAGAATGAAGGATGAACAACAACAATGAAACCTGGGTGTCAGAATGCTTTGTCCACTTGGCCTTTCCTGTGAGGATGGTCAGGCCAAACTTTTAAAACGATTATGGATCACGTCCAGGAGGCTCTGCACCATCCTAGGAATTGAGGCCAGCAGCCCCATGTTATTCACAAACAGGAACAACTGGAGGACCTCTCCAACCCCCAGGGAATCTCTCCTTGGCCTGCACTCTGTTCTATCTCCTCCATCCCAGTGGTGACCACCGTTAGAGAGTAGATATCTCCCAGTTTTATGCCTCATCTGATGCTGCTAATCAGAGGGCCATCAAACAAGCCTATCTCTGCTGTTAGGTCTTTCAACAAATTGTGAAAGATTTTGATGTAAGGGTGGGAGATGCCTCATTGGGAAAGAGCCTCAAAGGTGGCATTTTGTTCCATTGAATCATAACCAACAATAAGCCCGGTGGGACTTGGTATTCTCCATCTCTTTCAGTCATTCCCAAATAGTAATATTTTGCTGACTATTGATGACTGTTCATCGAGAACCTGCTTGCTCCCTCCTGCTACACTGGTCAAGGATGCCCTTGATTCCTCTGTAAACGGTGGCATCTAGATGGAGGGCAGGCAGAAGGATCAGTACGTGCCGACATTTTCTTAGTCAGCTTTTGGGGTGTAAATAAGATTCAAGATGTATTTCCACATCTTTGGTATTTTTCCCTCCTTCAGATACCTTTCACATCAATCCCTCAGCACTCTCTCCACTGTGCCTCTGCTGGCATAAATCTTCTCTATACAGATGTGGCCCAAATCTGCCATTTCTATGACGTCTCCCCCCTCGCCACAAGAGGCCAGCACACCCCAGATGGGGAAGGATTAGGGTCCAAGTGTGGAAGATCCACAGTCCTTGGCAGGGCAAACTATTTGTTCTAATAATCTTTATAGATCTTTGCCATTTTTCTTTGGATTGTCATCTTTCTCCCACCTTCATCCCTGAACGCTTAACTTTTAATTAAATCAAAGTAAATCACATAGTTGGCTCTCTTGCCTGGCTTTATTCTCTCTGCTTTATGAGACAATGCTGCCCAGTATTATCCACTATCCATCTTTGTAAGATGGTACCAATGACTTTTATTCTAACCTGGAGGTGTCAGGCTCAAGGCAAAACTCCCAAATGCAGCTGAATTAGACTAAAATGTCATTGGGAAATGTTTAACAAATAAGTAAAAACATAGCACAGCCTAGATAATGCTCATTTGTGGGTTTTCCATCACTGTATAGCCTGTATGGATTCCCCCCGCCCCACTGCCCTAAGCTGCCCTGCCTCTGGTCTCCATCTCTTTGCAGAGAGCAGATGACTGGCTTTGGGGACCTTCTGGTCTTGGGGCGGCAGTTGTGACCATCGGTGCTGATGCCCACTTGCCCTTTCTCACTGCTAATCACTCATTCAGACAGTTTAGGCCGGAGTTATTTCAACTGTCTGCCATTTCCATTCTCATCCTTGTCCTTTCATCTCACTTTTTAATTCTGCTCTTTGCCCTGACAAATTGCTAGTCTGACTGTGGGATCACTTCCGTGCCAATAACCAGAATCCGTTTCACTTCCTGTGGTTATTCGGTGTTTCCAGTTCCCAGGGCCTCCCGGGTCTTTTCTCAAAGAAAACATTCCCAGTACAGTGCCTCTCTCATTCCTTTGCCTAAAGCCAGCTTTTGTACCTAGTTCTTAGTTCTCACCATCTCTACGGGCAGGAGGCAGTGTGGTACAATGGGAAGGTCAGAGTCTCCAGGGTCAGGGGACCTGGGCCAAAGCTGAGCTTGGGTGCTTGCTATCTCTGTGACCTTGAGCAAGCTATGGAGGGGCTCTGAGGTTCAGTTTGCTCACTTGGTAGCTTCCTAACAGAAGAACTGGGGCTCATTCTAAAGTGAGTGTTTGCTGGGGTGGAAGCTATGCAAAAACCCGTAAAGCAGCTAAGGCGGGAAACGGGCCTCAGGACCGATTGGGTGGCACGGGAGGGCTGAGAACCATGAGCACAGCAATGGGATCCAGCCCTTTCCCCTCCCTGGCTACCCAGTGCTTGCTGAAGAAATCTCAGCGCATTCTCAGTCTTGCCCAATCCTTTCTTTTTCAACCCAGCCCCCCTTTATTGGCTGGGCTGAATGGGAGTGGAAAGGGAGGAGTCTGCACTACAACAGCTCTGCAGATAGCGTCTGGAAGCTTCTGACTGACTGTGGGTCTCCAGGCTGCTTGACTATTTAGACACCTCCTATAGCTGTGTTCAAAGGGAACTGTCCAATCCTGTGCAAGGCCTTTAACCCCGTGATGGAGGGAAGAATCCAAGTTACATGAGGGGGCTCAAGGCACGGAGAGGAGAAGGATTTCATATTTTTTGTTAAGTTGGACATATTCCAAGCTCTATCGTGAGAGGTTTTGGGGGCCACTGACTCCACTCATGGGCTTAGTAAGATGGGGAACAGCTCATGGGCAGTCACAGTGACACCAGATGGTCATACAAAGTACGACATCTCCTCAGAGGGTTAATTGATTGACTAATTAATTACAGGATAGCCTGCTGCTCTTTGTAATATCAGAAAGTAGGGGAAGGAGCCAGACATGTGTGGGGATAGCCTGGTCGCACCCAGAGCCTACCCAACTGCCACCCAGGTAAAGTAATTTGTAAGAGTGAAGGCAACACAGAAATATGGGTACCCACAATGTCGAAGGGTTACCGTAGACCCTGTTTCCAAGGAACTTCCACTTCAGTGTGGGAGGGAGAGAAGTATTGCTCAATAAAGAGCAAATGTGCTAGAACAAGGCAAGGAGAGAAGTCCCAGTCATGGGCTGGGAGAATTCTGAGATTCCTTTCACCAAGGGAGATTACAACAGGCTTCATGGGGAAGGGGTCCCCTTGCTCTGAGGACTCTGAGAGGAGGGGATGTCAACAGAACCTTCAAATGCAAGTAGGTACAAGGCACGGACATCATAATTGCTTTTCTTTTTTAAAATATTTCATAATTCAAGCTTTTTGCTAATTTGGCTTGGCCTTTGCCCTGGTTGAGGAAATCTGTGAGATTTTCTAGTAACCATCTAAAACTGCTATCCAAAGACACCATGAACAGAAGTAGAGATAATGTATTTCTACCAAGTCTTCCCAGACAACGTCTCACTAAAATGGGGGGAAGCACAGAGACTCTCAATCTTGCCCCATCTGGGTCACAAGCCCCACAAGTGGCAAGGGCAGGCTGAGGGTACCTCAATAACGGTTGGCTTTCCCACATTCTCTGCTGTCGGTGAGCCGTACAGCACGCCATCACTGTAGGGTGTCCTCTGGATATAGCGGAGCCATCCAGGTCTGTCTGGGTAGCCCATCAAGTTTGTATTAAACGTAATGGGGTCATTACTTATCTCACCTAGGTAAGAAACAGGCTATTAATGAAAGCATGCAAGATAACCATCGTCCCCACTCATACTTGATTGCGTTTATGAAAACATTTCTGTCTTTCTTGCTTTTAAGGTAATGCCAAATGTGCTAAGATGATAAGGCTAAGAGTCCCTCCCAGATGCCAGAAAAGTGTGCAGGGCAAAGGTCCATTGGAGGTTGCTCTGGTCTGCTGAGAGGTAGAAGGCCCCTTCCCCAAATCCCCTAGGAAGCCCCATGTTCCCTGTTCGTGAAAGGGAGAGAAAAGAGAGATGCACAGCCCTCCTGAGTGGCCTTAGGTTAGGTGGGTGCCTGGCACACAGGCAGCACTTAATAAATGCTTGTTGACTGACTGGGCTGGGATACTGATCTCAAGGGGCAACCCGACATTCCAAGAACAAACAACGAGAGCAATTCCACCATTCGTCCTTTCTGGGCAGGGTGGGAGGCAATGGTGGCTTGGGCAGCCTGTCTCAGTCCCACAGCTGAGAGGCACCAACCACACACAGAGAGAAACCTCCCTGTCGTGTGCACGCCCTCCCTACTGGAAAACAAGGCAACATTCGAGGGGGATGGGGGAGAATGAGTCTGTGATGAAAAGGTTTTCTTTCCACGTGGCTATGTTCTAACCCTGAGAAAACCACTATATTTCATGAATTTTTCAAGTGTGATACTACCATTATAAAAACTGATAAAAAGGAGTATTTTCTCCTTATTTTTGTAAACCTAGTCAGATGTACATACACACAATGCAAATACCATTTTTATATGTTCATGCATCATGTAAGTAAATGTTAACTTTACCTTCTTCTTCTCCACCGTCCTCTGTCTCCTTGCACCTTGTGGTTGATTCCAGCCAGCCATTAGTAATGCTCCCAATACAAAACCAATGGAAGTGGCCAGCGAAGATTGTTCATTCAAATAAATCTAATGTCACGAGAAGTCTTTACGGACTTACTTAATGTTAATGTTTGCAGACCCTGACCCTGACTTCCTCTGGAAGCACGAAGGAGAGGCCTTCTGGGACATGTCACAAAACTCAATGTCCTGCAAACATTATCGTGTTTCACTGGGACAATGCCAGTTGTCCAATGAGAGCCATCAGAGAGATGAACCCCAAGCTAATGCTTCTGAAGCTCAAAACAATCTTGCTACTTTTTCATCTGCTTCCAGGTTTCCCTCCTGACGCATTAGCCCCCTGCAATGTGGGCCCTCTATCGGGCCCAATGCAGACCTGCAAGAAGACTGAACTGACCCCTGGGCTGCCCAGCGTCCCACCCTTCCCTGCAGAAAGATCAAAGGGTCCCGTACCAGGCTTCGGAAATGGGGGGAACTCCCCTTTAAAGTACTCCCGCTCTAAGACATGAACAAAGAGGACTCCAGCGGATGGGTACACGTTCCGGTCAGACTGTACCTTAGAGAGAATGGTGTACACTAAAAAGGGAGGAAAGAGGAGAGACAGAAAAGAGGTGAATGAGACGTGCTGCCTTGCGCATTCGCTATTTCCGTGGCGTGAACAGATCTGGGGAAGGAAAAGCAACAGGCCGAACACGCTGGTTAGTAACATTGTGGCCGGTTTAGAACAAAGCTCAGAACAGAGCCCCTGGAGCCTAGAGGCGGCTTGGGCATCACAGGGCCAGAGGCGGCCAAGCAGCCCCCGAGCAGGAGGAGACAGACCTCGCATACCCCAGGATACATTGCAGCAGTGTGCTCAGGATACATTTGTGTCTAGCAGCAGGGCCCAACTTTTTCACCCGGGGAGGCCATAGCTTTCTCCTCATCTCTTCCGGCAGCATGCTTACCTCCATACAGGCAACACAGGAACTGTTACTAATTCCTATTCTCTTCAGCCTTTAAAGGGTTACAAAGCATTTCCTTATGGGGAAATTTGAGCAGATTTTGCAAATGAGGAAACTGAGGCTTGTTCAAAATCACAGACACAGGCGAGAAATAGCAGCAAATACAGGGTGGGAGCCCAGGTTCCAGAAGACCAAATCCCTCAGCAGGTAAAGAATCCCACCTGGGCTACAGTTAGGCTTTTCAGTCCTTAACAGCAAAGACACAGAACAAGCCAAACAAAATCACAAAGCCAAAATAATTGCCTTGCCTTGCCTTGTTTGCAAAGGAAGAAGAAACGTGGAACCATGTCTGCAGGCACCAGCCCATGTGTTCCCTTGAAATAGGGCTTTGCACTTGCTCAATTATGCTGAGAAAGAAGCCACGCTGCCTTCTTGTTTCCTGGCCAGAACACAACATTTTTTTTTTTTTAAGGCAACTGGGGTTAAGTGACTTGCCCAGGGTCACACACACAGCTAGTAAGTATTATGTGTCTGAGGTCACATTTGAACTGAGGTCCTCCTGACTGCAGGGCCAGTGCTGTGGTCAGAAGGTGCATTCTAAAATCTCATGCAAACTACCCTTGCAGAAATAGTCACTTCCCCAATACCTCACTGGTCCATAGCTTTGTAAACTAGTAACACTTTTGATTGCAGGTTTCTCAAGAAAGGAGAGAGGCTGCAAGCTAGAGTGGAAAGAGGGCTGGCCTCGGTTCAAGCAGGCAAATGTCCAGGTGAGCCTGGGCCGGGCACACCCACTCACTGGCCCAAGCATGGCCCGAGGTCTTCCTCGGTGAGCTGCCGTGTGGGGAGTTCCCTCTACCCCACAAAAGGGCAGCTCATGGGTTAGAGCTGGAAAGGATGTGAGAGGATCCGCAGCCGAGGCAGGAACTGCTGCGACCCCCTGCTGAGCCTGCTCCCTGCCCTGCTCATGGCCACTGCAGCGGCTCCCTGTGGCCTGGAGGTGTTAAAAGTGTTGTGGTGGTTAAAAGCCACTCTCCCCATGCACTTAGCCTTCTGTCCAGTGATATGGGCCTCCAGTATGCTGGACCTTGCACGAGGCCCCCCACGTCCCAACTCTGGCATCTTCTCTAGCTGTTGCCCCTGCTGGAAACTCTCTTCCTCCCCATCTCTGCCTCAGGCCTCCTTCAAGTCCCAGCCAAAATCCCACCTTCTACAGGACGTTTCCCTGATTCCCCCCTCATTTGAGGGCCTTTCCTCTGTTGATTCTCTCCAGCCCGTTTGTGAGTACTTTCTGACTGGTTGTTTCTCTCATCAGACTGTAAGCTCCCGGAGAGCAGGGCTTGTCTTTTGCCTTCCTTTGCATCCCGAGCACTGAGCACAGTGCCTGGCACACAGTAGACACTTAATAAATGTTTAGTGACTGACTGACCCCCCCCCCCCATTTTATAGATGAGGAAACTGAGGCAAAATAAGTTTAAGTGACTTGCCCAGGATCACACAGCTAGTAGTAGGTAGGCAAGCCTAATTCGCTGGAATAAAAATAATGACAACAACCTACAATTCCTCTAACTCGAGGGGGAAATCCACAACAGCCTCCCAAAATAGAAATGGAAAGATTCCAAGCCAAAGCCCCATCTGTGTCTGCAAACACATGACAGAATGCTGACTTCTTTACAATAGCAGCTCAAGGCCAACTTACCTCTCTTCTTATTTCGATTCAAGGCCTGAGAAAAGTCCATCGAAGTCTGTTCCTAATGCAGCCCACTCACCCTAAGCTTGCATGGCCCAAAGGGGTCGTGGCTCTACCGACGCTCAAAGTTTCCTGCATCCAGCCCCTCTTCCTGATCTCCCCTCTGTCCAGGGCCTCATCCCCAACAGCACAGTCCATTCAAACCACCTCCATACTACCCTTCCTCCAATCCATCCTTCCTTCTCATGCATCGATATGGTCATTTTACTACTCATCTGCTCACTTCTCAACCCTACCCCTCAACTGAAATGGTCCCTCCTGGATTCCTGGCAGATCAGGCAATGCTAGAAATAGAGCATATCCTAAAATTCAGCAAAGTAGCTCGCAGAATTTTGTGCTATCAATGTAGAAATGACAAAGCAGACTAGACAATAGCATAATTGGCCCAAATCGTGATTAAAGTTAATACAGGTAAATATCAAATCGTACACTTGGATGAAGAATGTAACAGTGCAGGATGGAGGAGAGCCCTGCAAATCTGACCAGGCCTGCCACCTCTCGTCTTCTATCTCTCCTTCCCTTCTAGCCTAACCACTTCGTGAAAGCCATGCACACTCTCTGCCTCCACCTCCTTCCCAACACTTCGCACAGTGCCTAGAAGAACACGGCAAGTGGTTAAGAAACATTTATCGACTGACTCCTTGTAGTTACGAGGAGTAACAGTATAGTCTGTTTCTGAGCTCACCATTCAGCTGAAACTCCGCTCTCCAAAGTTACCATTGAGCTCTGCGTTGCTCAATCTTTTCTCTGCCTTGTCGTTCTGGACCTCTCTGCAGCCTTTGACACTGGCAATCACCTTCTCTGACACTCCAGCCTGTCTAGATTTTCATGACGCTGCCCTGTCTCGGTTCTCTGAACCATCTCTCTGAGCCATCTGATGGCTCCTCAGTCTCCTCTGCTGGGTCTTCATCTGGGTCACACCTACTAAGTGCGGGCATCCCCTAGCAATTTGTCCTGGGTCATCTTCTATGCTATTCTTCCTCTATGCTATTTCACTTGGTCGCATCAGCTCTCAAGGAATCACCTCTCATCCTTATGAAGGACATTATCTAATCTAATCATCCAGCCATAACCCCTGTCCTGAGTTATGGTCTCACCTCACCAACTTCCTTTTGGACAGCTTGAACTGGATATCTCAAGGATGTCTCAAACTCCACATACCCAAACCCAATACCTACCCCTTCCTTGACCTCCCGCTAACTGTCAAGGGGGCCACCAGCCTCCCAGTTACCCAGGCTTGCAAGCTTGGGGTCATCCTTCCCTCCTCATGCCCTCTCACCTGTCATATCCAATCTGTCGCCAAGGTATATCAATTCTACCTCCCTAACGTTCTCTCCCATGACATTGCTTTCACGACCCTAGCTTAGGCCCTCATCCCCTCATACCTGGACGGCTGTGATAGCCTGCAGGCTGGAGCTTATGCCTCAGCTGACTCTCTAGTCTATCCTCCACTTAGCTGCCTAGTGACCTTCCTAAAGCATAGGTCTGAGCATGTTCCCTGCCCCTCCCAGACACACCCCTAACCCCAGTGGCTCCCTATTACCTTCAGGAACAAATACAAAATCCTCCTTCCTTATACTTTAGTCCACTCCATGTATTCTGGGATCCAGTGATACTGGCGTTGCTGTGGCTCACACAGGACATTCCATCTCTCAGTCCCCTACCTTTTCACTGGCTATCCTTCACACTTGTGACACTCTCTCCCTCATACACACTCCTGGCTTCCCTGACTTCCTTCCTTCTAGACTCCAAATAAAGCCCGCCTTCTCCAGGGAGCCTTTGCTACTCCCCAAGTGCCACCTAATCCCTTCAATTCCCTCAGCTGTTTGTTTTTTCTCTCTGATATTACCTTCCATTTACATAGGGGTGTCTTTCTCATCAGTATGTTTGCTCCTTGAGGGCAGAGATCGCATTTGTCTTTCTGTCCCCAGTGTTTAGCACAGTGCCTGGCACATGGTTATCACATGCTAAATGCGTGCTGACTGCCTGACTGAAGAGTCAGGCTCCCTCATTTACATCAAATTAGATAATACTTAAGAATGAAGAGACAGAAAACACTTGTCTACCACAAATAGCCTGTTCTGCTTTACATTTTCCTATCATCCCCATAATTCCATGGGCCCCTTGGGCAGACAGGTAGCTAGGATGCCTACAGAAGCCCTCCTAACACTGAGGGAGCAAGTCTTCTCTTCATATCTGTGACAGGAGCTAAGATGGGCTGGCGGAAGGCAGGAGTTTTAACACAAACACTGTCAGGTCTTTTAAGCTCCATTTTATCCTGGCTGTCATTTGGGTTGGTTTAGAAGTTGGGGAAACAAAGCTGACTGTCCAGTTAGGTGAGGTCCCCCTGACACAAAGGGATGAGAAGTCAGAGACATCTTAAAGGATCATTTAGGATGGAGATGGATAAGATAAGGCAGAAGCCCGCAGAACATCACTGGCATTCTGAAAACGGTTCTGTGTGTCTTCTTCTGACGGTAAAGGGAAATGAAGGTGGAGCCTCAGATCCCACAGTCCTGAGTGAATGAGCACCAAAGGCCTAGGAGTCCAGCCCCTGTGGAGCCCAGACAGAGGGTGGGCACCCCACCCTTCTCCTAGCACGGCAACCCTATCTTTCTAAAGGAAATAAAAGTGCTGAATGTAACAGGAAAGCCATCCTCTCCAGGTTTCTGCTCTGAAATTCAGCTCCAATGCTTTTAAGATCAGATCCTAGTAACAACTTCCTGATAGGCTGAAATGCCATGACTGCAGCATTATGGCAAGCACACAGTGGTGTTACTTAGAGGCAACCAGCACTGACAAGGCACAAGCAGTTTGTGCACAGGACAATGATTCTGTGCAGAAAAATGCAGGAGCTGCAGCATAAGGGAAAATGAGGTTAAGAACATACAGGATCTGAAGGTTTAGAAGATGAGGGAACGGAAGTTATTCTTTCCTGAATGATTTACCATTTGTCAAGAAACCAAAGACATCAGGGGGAAAGCAGAAGGAATAGGAGAAAGAGACCCGTCACCGAATGCCCACCACCGGGGGTGAGTAGCCACCTGAACTCACCATTGCTCTGCCCAGCAGCCGTCTTTCTGCTGATAACAAAACTGTTGGCTTGTTTTGTCTTCCAGTTAACTGTCTCATCTACGTCATCAGCACTGCTTAATAAAAAAGCTTTTCAGAATAAAACAAATGCATAAAAAAAAGAATGAATTCCGGTCAAATCAGAAGAGATTCCCACAGATCAAGCACAGTTAGCTGGGTACCCTCCTAACCCTCCTAGCCCAGCCGGTGTATCTTTACTTTTGCACCAGGTTTTGTGGAACAGTTTTCAACAACACACAATTCAAGTAGAGATATTAAGTTTCATCATATTTACCTCAAATCTATTTCCAAATTTCTTACTATTCTTTATCCAGAGGAGAGGCCAAAGTTTCAGAATTTACATTTTTTTATATGAATGTAAAGCTCTCCAAACTCCAGACTATGCAGACAAAGAAAACATTCAGCATGTACATGTTTAAAAACCCAAATCTCCCCATTTACCTTCTGGCTGAACTTGAACTAATGCCAATGGTTCACTCAATACACAGCCACTACTGAGCAGACTTTCCTGACAGCCAGCGACATATTTAAAGTCAAGTGGTGAGTGCCCAGATGAAGCCTCATCTTCTCAGCATTTCCCCAATGCTTTGAGGCTTAGCCAGTGCTTTTTTTTGCCTCAACACTATGAGGCAGATGAGGGAACCAAGGCTCTGAGCCCCTCAGTTAGTAAATATTCAAGTTGAGATTTGAAGTTACATTGCCTGACTCCAAATCCAGGGCTCCATCCATACGTATCTCTACTAAGCTTTTTAAGGCGTAACAGGACCAAGAAAGGAAGGAAAAAATCTCCTGGAGAAACATCATTATAGGAAGACACTCTCCCTCAGAGAGGGTGCCATCTGTGCCCCTGAAATTCCAAAAGGGGTTGATACTCCAGAGTAAAGAGCCAGCCCAGAAAACTCTGACTGTGGCTGCCCAGATGGAACATCTCCTGCCCAGAATCCGGAGCTTCCATCTGATGGGCGTCTTCCCAGCCATGAAAACAAACGGAAGGGGGAACGTGTTCCCAACTCTTCCCACAAGTGCTGCTGGGTCAGATTTTATGGTCTTTCTTAGCAGAGGCTGGTGGTGACACACTGGATGTCTAACTGCTTTCCTGGAGCCTGGAGGCTGGATGACTAGCTGGCCCAGTTCTCTAGGGCTCATCCAGCTGCAAGTTCTGCCAAACTTTCTGGGGATAAATGAGAATGAAGGCTGGATTCTTATGTGCATCCATAGTAGGGATGCATGCCCATTTTCCCCTCTGAGGAACCCAAATGAAAATCCATCAATTCTGAAATTAATCAAAAGACAACCCAGAATTCCTTAGAAACTTACAAAACGCTTAGGGGCTGGGGCCGAGGGCCAGAGAGGTTGGACTTCATCTAGTCCAGGGCAAGGACTCTATGAGGTTATACTATTGTAGCCAATGTAACACGATTGAGTGGCAGCTGTGTGCCAGGAATCATACCAGGCCTTGGGGATTCAAAGAGAAACACAAAAGGGTCCTGAGGCTACAGAACAGGGACAGGCATAGGGAGAGGCCATTTCTGGGGCCTCCTTTGAAGGGCTCCCTCTAGTCTCTAGGCTAGAAAACCACTGTTCCATAGAGCTCTTCCATAGATCAAGATGGAGCTGAGGATTCCTCACTGGTGGCTGGGTTGAACTCCAGATTCTCTTCTGATCACCCACGCACAAGATCACGGTCAATGATCAATGACTGAGTCAGAATGGAACAAGTGGGAAAACATCGCAGAGACTACAGGAGGCAAGATTCCCATAGCACAATTTTTTAAATATCTGAAAACAGTTTTATGTGACTTGACTCTTCCTTTAAAAAAAAAAAAAATTACCTGGACTGTTACACAGAGCAAATTTTCACTTCACAAAGATAATTCTCTTTTAGCCTAAATTTCATAGCAATTCAAACAGATGCCAAAGGGGAATTCTTGCCCTTACGGCCAACTAGAAACACTTCCGTGCAGGCTGATAAGTCCTAGAACAAAGGCACTGAAGAGAAAAAAAGCAATTTTTTCTTCCGTCAAACAAAAACTTTGTATGTGACTGATGAGGCTGAATTTATTCTTGGTTGTTCCAAAATTTGTTAGGAATGACCTTGTTGGTAATGAGCTCCCCTCACTTGATGGCCTGCCTGCCCCGAGTTGGGAGGCTGTGCCAGAGATGTTGGTTCAGGTACAGGGATTCGGGAACCCCTTCTTCCACCTTTGAGAGTCTAGGATTCAGTATCTCCAAATTGTCACAGATTTCTGTATTTTTATGGTCATAAATACAGAAAAAATAAAACCTATCTCATGGCACTGGGGGGCTTTACTGAGGGAAGCAGGACAGCAAATAAGAAGGAAGAAAAAGGAGAGGGAAGAGAATAAATATTCATTAAGCACATATTATGTACCAGGTACTGCGTTAAGCTATTTAAAAAAAAAAAAAAGCTTCACCATAACCTTCAAAATATCCAGTATCATCCTGGTGGAAAGAATAGTGCCTAAAATGTTGTGAGAATGACTGCAGACATTTCCCTCCCTAAAGTATCAATATATCATTGTTCTCCCAAGCCATGTTTATAAAATTTATTCTCACCCTATAAAAGATTAAGATAACCTAAATCTGCAAAGAAGATGATGAAATTTAAGCTCCAAAAAGGAAGGGACAGTTTAATTTTTTTTGTCTTCGTATTTCTATGGTGCCTGGCACACAGTAGTCACTTAATGAATGTTTATTTATTGCTTGAAGTGCACATTTTCATTTTATTTGATTTCATTTTCTACACACATATTTAATTGTGTTAATACATTTTGTTTTCATATTGTCTATACTTCTCAATATATCCCTCTCCCTAACCCCTCCCGGAGGGAATGCTGCATCCCTCTCAACAAAAAAGAAAAAGGAATGGAAAAAACCCCATTTAGCTAAACTAACCAACACACTGGCAACAGTCTGACATGATATGCGGCGTTGCCATGGTCCCCGACCTCTGCAAAGCAGAGGGAGGGGCCTTCTCACATCTTGTCTCTGGGCAGAACTTGGAGATTTTCATTCTGCAGCATTCAGCTTCAATCCATACGCCACAAGTGACACAGCTATTCCCTCATCAATGGCCACCTACTTTGCCAAACCTTCATTTTAAATAAAACCTTCTAACTGTGATGGGGTGAAGGCAGGGATCCATGGAGAACAGAGTCATCCTGCCCTGTGGAATAATACACAAATTGGGTAATGACTTTCTAAGCAATGAAGGATTGATTTTCTGAAAACAGGCATAATAACAAGTAATTTCCCATATGTATAAGGAAGTCCGCATTAAATACAGATGTAAGATACATTGTCCCTTTAAGATAAATGGAAGTGTTTAGTAAAGAAAGGGACCAAAAAATGTCTTTGTAAAGGAAGAGATTTTTAGTTATGGTCAAATGATATGGGATATTGCCACTATTTGTGGATGAACGTTTTGATTCCTAAGAAGAGTAGAAATAGATCTTTGTTTTAACACACACACACACACACACACACACACACACACACACACACACACAATGTGTGTATGAAGACATACAGCTTTCAGATGCCATTTGGATAGTTATGGAGAGAAAAAAAATTATATGTGATGTCAAAGCTCTCTCCTCAAATCTCTTAGTGACCAATAAAGAATGACATCTTGATTGTATGGGAAAAGAGGCAGAGAAAGATCTTTTATCCATTAGAAAGATTGGAGTGTAAAGAAAGAGTTTCCAGGGTACCAAAGTCATGGTGGACCATGTAGAGGACTTCAAAGCTACAAAATATGATGGTTTTTATTGTTGTTCAGTCATGTCTGACTCTGTGACCCCATTTGGGGTTTTCTTGACAAAGATACTACAGTGGTTTGCGATTTCCTTCTCCAGCTCATTTTACAGATGAGGAAACTAAGGCATACAGGGTAAAGTGACTTGCCCAGGGTCATACAGCTAGTAAGTGTCTGAGACTGGATTTGAACTCGGGAAAATGAGTCTTCCTCACTCTAGGTCTGGCACTCTATCTACTATACCAACTTACTACCCTAAGTATAATGGTATATCAGCTAATTTGTATACACCTGGCTTATCATCATAGAGGGTAAAACTTTTAAAATGAGAATAAATGTTTGGAGATTGGGGTATGATTAAAGAGTATCCTTCAGAGAGTGATGGTTAATGAAAGAACTTGAAAACGTTTTGTCCCAGTAGAGAAGAGCAGAGGACAGTGTCCTATTGGCCAAGCTCTGCAGCACCAGCTCTCACTCTACAGAGCACCCAGAGCTGGAGACAGGAGTGGCTTCGCATACCGCAGAGGGCTCTCTGCTGCCATCAGGGCACTTTGCAGATGCTTTCCAAGAGTCAGCCTGTGCTCTGGCCTGATTGGACCAGGCAGTATCTGGGTGAGTGAAGGGCTGACCCATCTGGTCTGTATTGTCCAGAGATAGCCAGTTAGATGAGACAGGCGCTGATCCAGCTTAAAGAGAACTGATAGCCTCTTTAAGAGCTAACAATTTCTAAATGCCTTTTAAAGGGGATTATTAATGAAAGAGCTTAAAAATACTATTTAGAGCAGAGAAGAAAAAAGAATTTCTCTCTAGTATCCTCTAAGATCAGCTGAGAGAGGTTCCAGAGTCAAGCAGCAAGCTAAGACACAATTTTGCGAGGGGCAGAAGTCCCTAAATGGGCCCGAAACCCTAAAGACTGTGGTCCAGTTTGGAGTTACCCCAAGCACCTGAGTTTTTCCTCTATTAGGGGCTCTCCCCCAGAGCTACTGTATACCTTGGTGGAAAAGAGCGATTTGGCTTCATACGTGTATTAAGATGTATTTGATTATGTAAGAATTTGATAGATTGGTATCTATAACAATTTTTTACTTTAAAAGTGTTATCAATGTGTTTGGTCACATAAATATCACGTCTTGTGAGTGGCTGATTGGACAGACAGAAAACGCACTGGGTACAGGCTTGAGCTAGATCAAGCTAGAAAAGTGACTCATCAGGCTGCGCTTAAAATGCCAAGAAAGTGTGAAAAGAAGCAGGTGGTGGCAGTCTATCTTGGAAACCTGGACCCGCCAGCGTA